TCAGCTTCCATGTTATAAGTTAAACGCGCTTAATTATAAAATTTTTTGACTGTGTAATTATCATATCTTATTTAAAACGATAAGTAGGTAGATATTAACTATTTAACAACATCCCTCCAAAGTAAATCATTGTGCCATGTCTCGAATCAAGTAAGGGAACCTAGGGGCTGAACTCAGCCAATCAACGGACGCCGAACACAAATTAATTCAAATTAGAAGGTGCATGATATAGAAACATCAATAATTGATATTCCCAAATGCGATTTGGAATTTCTTGCAAGTTCTATTATTTAACATATTCATAGGGAGGCATCCTGCCTCGGGGTGCTTCAAGATGGATTAAATGCATGTTTAAGAGGACAACCCTCTTGAAAGTATGTTGCATGCGATAATTATTCTTCTCAAAATGTTGAATCTCCAACTCCAAAGATCTCTCATACCCTGATCCAATAGAGTATCTAGATGATGTAAATCATGATAACTCAGTTGAACTACATAGGCATTATTGTTTGAACATCTTGTTGTTACTTATTATTTTGTTGGGAATCGTCTTGAAGAGTCGAGCCTATTATCTTGTTATCGAAACATGACGCTGACTATTAAGTAAGTATAAGAAAATAAAGATTTGTATTCACTACTAATTATAACTTTGTAAGTAGTGATAAGCGAGTACTTGTCCTCACAATTGGTATCAAAGCGTGCAGTTGAGCTTGGCATGTGGTGCAGAAATATAAAGAAAATAAAATTTAGCTACAGCTTTTGGCATAGTGATAAGTGTTTGATCTTGACATACTCAAATAAAGAATTATGTAAGCAAATTAAAGTTTTGTAAAATATAGCATGCATTTCAATGTTTTAAAACAAATCCGACTAATTGTACAAATGAATTATATTTTCATGAATCAACATTTTGGTCCCTCAATTGTTTTTCAAGTGTCATCAATGTAGTCCCTAATTTTCAATTTCAATCAATAATTTAATCCTCGGATTGTTTAAAATTTTGTCAATCTCTTCCAGGGACTAAATTGATGACATTTTAAAAATGTGAAAATCACCATTTTGATCCCTGAAATGTTTTCTTTTTTTTTTTTAATGCTACTGACTCTATTACAATGTAGTATATGTTCATAGCTACTTTCTCAACTTACTGAAGCACAAAGAGTCAATAACGCCTCCACTGAGACTTAAACACACAACCTCCTATATAGGAGTCCAACCCGGATGCCATCTGAACACAAGGCGTTTGGCTCCCTGAAATGATTTAATTGACGTAATTTTAAACAATCTGATGACCAAATTGGTTGAAATTAAACTATGAAATATATGGACAATTAAAAAGCAATTAAGGAACCAAAATGTTAATTTCTCCGTTTCATCAATATGTACAAATGAATGAATAGAGAAAGGTGGTAGGAACGATATATAATGAGTAAAAAAATGGTAAGTCATCCTATTCCATGGGTGTTGAGTTTTGACAGATCGAGAAGGTGACTATGGAGGAAAAGCATTCATTTTATTTGACTCAAAAACCTATAAAGTATTTTTTTTTTCTCTCTTTTTTTATAATGAGTTGCTTGTAGGTCCAAATCACAACTACCTAGCTTAATGGTGGTTCCATGCAATTTTTCCTTCTTTTTTTTTTCTTTCATTTTAATTTGTTTTCAAATTTTCATTTTTCCACTAATAACTATAAATACATATAATTCAAATAGCGTCTTAAAAGGAGTAACTCTTATAAGCTTAAAATCTTGGTAATTAAGTAGATTGGTCCAAAGGCGACATGAATGAAATGGATAAAATAAGACCATCATGTAGATGGACACAATCTTAGGAGTTAGGACATTCAACTTGAGTTAATGCTTTTAAAGTTAGCATCTTTCCTTCTGATTCAGATTTGTCAACTAATTCGCACATTTATTTCATTCTTTAAGAGTAACGAATAAGATCGTCGGACTCAATTATGATTCGTAAACTCCCAACAAATACGTTAGGAGATGCGAGAGAGTACTCCTTCCTAGCTTCACTAACTTGGATTTAATTATGAAATAGTCATAAACATATAGGGGTGTTTGGTAAATAACTGTTAGCTGACTGTATTAGTGGATTTGACTAGTTGATAGCATTAGCTAATTGTAGAAAGATGTTTGGTAAATTAGTTGTTAGCTTATTACATATAAAATAACTTTTTCAAAAAGCTGATCGAATTTTTGATTTTAGCATTTTGGAGCGATAAACTGTTAGAAAAAGCTAATTAATCAAATATTCATATTGATTGTTTAACCAAGTCAAACACCTAATAGTGATTAAATAAGCTAAAATTGACTGATAGGCTAACTATTTTACCAAACAGGGCCATAATATAATTATATAATCTTAATGACAAGGCTAATAATACTCACCCCTCCAAAAAATTTCTCTCCTAACATTACATTATTTGATTGGATACTTCAGCTTCTTATTACAAGTTTAAGAAGGAAAACTTTTAAACGAGTGAACAGAATTTTCCTAATTATTGCTGGAGAGTTGAGAACACTTGACCTTGATAATAAAAGAAAATGAATCATATAAAAACGCCTATTGGCGTAAAGCCCAAATATCTAGGGCAAGCCTGTTAGCTTAAAAATGTAAGCCCAATGTAAGCCCATTTTTATATTGTGTGTGTACTTAATTAAAACCCAATTGTTATGCCTTGAAACCGCATGTTATAATTACTGAATTCTATGTTCATAATTATAAAATTTTATGTTCATAATTTTTGAATTTCATATTCATAATTATTGAACTCTATATTCACAATTACAAAATTCTATGTTCATAATTTTTGAACTTTTTATATTCACAATTATTAAACTATATATTCACAATTACAGAACTCTATGTTCATAATTATAAAATTCTATATTCATAATTTTTTAACTCTATATTCATAATTATAACAGTTTTAGAACTGTATTCACATTGTAAGATGGACACGGTTCCACAACATAATTTGCTATTAACACCATTTTGGTCTTGTTCCTTTCATTCTCATTTTTCACCACCAACTTCAATATTCGAAATTATATTACTAATTTTTTTTCAATGACTAAAGAAACTCACAATTATTATCCGAAAATATGTACAAGGCTATAATACAATGTTAGGAGGAAAAAATTTTGGAGGGATGAATAGTATTAGTCTTGTAATTATAATTATATAATTATATAATTATATAATTATATCATGGCTGGTAAAATAGTTAGCCTATCAGTCAATTTTGACTTGTTTAACCATTATTAGCTGTTTGACTTGGTTATGAGTGTTTGATTAATTAACTTTTTTGTAACAGCTTATCGCTCCAAAATACTAAAATTTAAAAAGTAGCTCAAAGCAGTTTTTTGAGAAAATTGTTTTGCATGTAATCAGCTATCAGCTAAACCAAATACTTTTCTGCAATCATCTAATGTTATCAACTAGTTAAACTCACTAACTCAATCAACTAACAACTATTTATCAACACTCCCATTATCAATTGAATCTTTTTTTGAAATACTCATCATTCTTTACAAGGTAGTATCTGTTCTATACTTTTTCAAATATTTTCAGCCCAAAGAATCTAAGCCCCCACTACTCAAGTTCGAACATATAAACATGGCCGGGATACCATCACAGTACATTGTAGTAGGCGGCAAATTATGCCTGGACCCGTGTCCACAATTTTGAATTGTGGACACGGGCCCAAAACGACGTCGTTTTTCAAAAAAAAAAAAAAAACGCGTCTTTTAATTTAAAAAAAATCGCGCGTGTTTTGCCGTTAACGGCGTTATTTTTTTTTTTTTGGATTATTAATGTACAGTTATGTAATTATGAAATTATGAACACAGAGCTCTAACATTATGAACTTACAATTATGAGCATATAGTGATAAAATTATGACCATGGAACTTTAAAATTGTGAATATAGAGCTTCGAAGATTATGAATGTACAGTTATGGAGTTATGAATGTACAGTTATGGAGTTATGAATCTATAGTTATGGAATTATGAATGTACAATTATTGATCGAATTATGAACAAAGAGCTCTGACATTATGAACTTACAATTATGAACATATAGTGATAAAATTATGAACATAGAGCTTCGAAAATTATGAATGTACAGTTATTGAGTTATGAATGTACAGTTATGGAGTTATGAATGTACAGTTATAGAGTTATGAACGTACAATTATAGAGTTATGAATTTACAGTTATTAACATATAGTAATAAAATTATGAACATATACTCCTATAACGAAGCAGTCTGAAATTAAAAAAAAAAAAAAAAAAAAAAAAAAAAAAAAAAAAAGAAAAGTGCCTAACGGCACTGTTACTCGTGTCCAGCATGAATGCTGGACACGAGTGCATAGCATAACGATTGGTAGTAGGCCATTATCAATTGAATCTATTACAAATGATTGTAAAATAATCTACTTCTCTTTTTTAAAATATTACTTACTGAATCATTAAATTAAGCTCGTGCACGTTTAATATAATTTACTAGCATACAATATAGTCCCTACCATTTCTCTCATCATCTAAACAAAAAAAATAGCAAATTTCAATATGGAAAACTTTTTTTTTTTTTTCCAATATAAGAAAGAATCTAAAAATCTTTCTAGATATGGAGATGCTGGATGGTCTCCCTGAGTGGATACGCCTGACACCTGTCAGAAGTGAAGTCAGAAGCTGTAGATGAGGCAGCCATTCCTAGTTTCGAGCACAGAAAACGAGTTGGCAAAAGGCATAGCTGGAAAATGATGAGGTTCAAGAAAATTCAAACAAGATTTTATGAGTAGGAAAAATGCCAAATTAAAATATATAAAACAATGCAGGTAGAGAAGGCGTAAGCCGAGAAAAGTCAGAAAACCATCTTTCACTTTCGCTGACGCCTGATCGCTGGTGACGCAGTGCCAATGGGGAAAAGGGCCCACCCAAGAAAAGAACAATGTTTTCAGGTAGAAACTTCCATTTGGGGTTTTCTTCTTGGTGCCCATCGTTTTTTCTTCCATCTTTAAGCAAGCTAAGGTACCCTATTTCTGTTGTACTAATTGGGACTACTGTATCGTCTTCTGGTCTTCATTGAGTAAAAAAGTTTCAATCTTTTCATAGGTACACTGTTCCTCTGACTCTGTCAAACAAATTTTTATTACCTTAATTTAATTACCTGATCGATCAATTTTGTATTTGGAATGGTATGTGGGGATGTGGGGTATCTTTCTTATCATCTCCATTTTTCTATTCTTTGCATCAGTATGGCTAATTCCAGGCTGAATTTGCTATGAGTTTATCAGATTCCTTGAAATTCTGTTGATCATACAGCTCTAGAAAAAAAGTGAACATCTCAGGCTGCAATTTTATTCCTCTTACTGGTTTTGTATGCACCATGGTTTGATTGATGATCATTAGGTCACTTTGATGGGGTTGTCTTTGGTTCCAAGTGGCCATCGATTTCTTTTGGGTCCCGAGGGAGAGTGTGCCCTCGGTAAACCCCACTCTGTGACCCTTACCGGCAAAGGACTACAATAAGGTAAACCAGCCTAGTCAGCTCAAACCAAGAAGGCCAATAGGCAGATGCCATTGGGAGTCGAACTTGTAACATTTTGGTTAGTAAGTAAACAGTCTAACCAACTTGATTGGGTTGCACCCGGCCATCGATTTCTTATTTCCATGGATGATTGGGAGTTTGTATAGTTCTTATTGTTCTGCATTGGTTGATTATCTTCTTTACCATTTCCACAGTTAGCTCTGACATATTTTGTTTGAACAAGTGAATCTTATCTTTGGCCTTATGATATTGTTAATGATTTGGCTAAGATTAGTTACTGTTCCATTGCTATAGTTATACGTTTCACTTTCATGAAAGCCTATTGTCTGTGTTCGTCTATCGTCTTCTATGTGTTAGGACAGTTATAGATGGCTACTGGATTATTGTTGATAAATTACTCCACAATTCCTTACAGTTTCTTCTACTAACCTATATGGAATTTGTGTGAAGGCCGGGCTAGTTTCCACCCCACGATCGTGCTTTGGTTTGTGGTATGGATTGGCTGTCCAAGATTTTCGAAGGTCCAAGCTATGAGGGCAATCATGGGTTCTGGGACGGGCAATTTCATGGGAAATATGAAGATGACACTCATGCTTGGCAAGGGACTACAGCTTCAGTGGTAATGATGCCCACTAATCTGCTATAAAGAGTACTAACTTTCGAGTATTGTTTCATTGCCTGTTTTTGTTAATAAATATACTTGCCAGATTTCTTTCCAGTTTCGTTTCTAATAAGTTCGTTCTACTCTTTTGACTTGATCTTAATGTTGGGTATAGGATACACAGCCGGATTTTGATAGTGAAGAAATAGATCGTGCCATTGCACTTTCTATCGCAGAAGAAGATCATAAAGGGAAAAAAGTAGTTGGTAAGCTAACATTTGAAATTGATATACTTTTGAGCAGAATTTTATCGTATATTTCGGAGTTCTTTGCTTTTTGTTAAGTCATTCATTTGAGACAAATAATTGGATACTGTTTTCCCATTCGGGTATGAAGGGCGATCCTTGCTAATTCTTTTTCTTCTGCTGCTGATAACCGAGTAGATACCAATCCCAGTGTGGAGGAAGATGAACAGCTCGCCAAGGCTCTTCAGGAAAGTTTAAATGTGGGATCTCCACCAGAGTATAATGATTATGGAAATTTGTTTTCCCCATATCCATACTTCGATCTACCTGGGTACAGGATCTGTGCTGGTTGCAATGCTGAAATTGGTCGTGAACGGTTTTTGACCTGCATTGGAGTTTTGTGGCATCCTGAATGCTTCCGATGCCATGTTTGCAATCTTCCAATTTCTGACCACGAGGTTCGATATCATGAATTGAATAAACATATTGGCACTGTTTGGTAAAATAGTTAGCTTATCAGCCAATTTTGGCTTATTTGACCACTATTAGCTGTTTGACTTGGTTAAAAAATCAATATAAGTGTTTGGTTAATCAGCTTTTTGTAGCTCCAAAATGCTAAAATCCAAAAGCTGCTCAAAGCAACTTTTTCAATTAGCTTTTTGAGAAAAGAAATTATACCAAACAGCTAATCTATCAAACACCTTTCTACAATCAGCTAATGTTTCAACTAGTCATACCCTCTAACTCAATCAACTAATAGCCATTTACCAAACAGGGCCATTAACTCTGTGAGCAGAGAGCAGTATCATCTCAAATTTCATAAAAATGATATATATATATAGTCGTTTGATCTCTATATTCCTGGCTGCAGTTTTCAGTGTCTGAGAATCGGCCATACCACAAATCTTGCTACGAGAAAAACTGTCGCCCGAAATGTGATGTTTGCTACAACTTTGTAAGTCTATATTCATTATATTGAACTGATCTACCTTCCAATGTATATACCATACTACTTATCCGAGTATACTTTGCTCGTTTTCATTATTTTCTACCTGTGTCTAGATTCCTACAAATGCGGCTGGTCTCATTGAATATCGAGCACATCCTTTCTGGCTTCAAAAGTACTGCCCATCACACAGGCATGATGGGACTCCCCGCTGCTGCAGCTGTGAGAGAATGGAGGTCCGAAGGGAAACAAATACTCCGAATAGTCTACATTTTTTTACCTTTATAGTTCTTGAACCTCGTGAAAAGAACAAATTCGATTGTGTGTCGTGTGATGTTAGAACGTAATGTGAACCTCGGTTTTGCAGCCAGTAGACACCAGATATATGACGCTTGATGATGGGAGGAAGCTGTGTCTCGAGTGTCTGGATTCTGCGATATTGGATACTTTTGAGTGCCAGCCACTTTATATTGAAATTCAAGAATTCTACGAGGGACTAAACATGAAAGTAAAGCAGCAAATCCCATTGCTCTTAGTTGAGAGGCAAGCGCTAAATGAAGCCATGGAAGGAGAAAAGAATGTGAGTTTCAGTTTAGTCTTAACTCGAAAAGTTTCTTTCTTGTTATCATTGATGGAGTGCTTTTTTTGCATTGTTTCTGTTATAGGGAAATCATAACATGCCCGAGACTAGAGGAGTTTGCTTGTCAGAGGAACGAACAGTTAGAACTGTATGAATCATCTCTTCTCGAACATGTTAACAGCGGCTTCAGGCCTTGTTGAATTTGATTTCGTTCATATCAGTTTAAGCTAAATTTCAGATTTCAAAGCGGCCAACAATGGGAGGTTTTCGAATCATAGATATGTTCACGGAGCCATATAGGCTAATTCGCCAATGTGAAGTGACAGCAATTCTCATCTTATACGGTCTTCCAAGGTAATTCTCGGGTCTCTAGTTGTTTCATATGATATCTTGAGTTCATTAACACTAAAATGAGTGTAACTTGCCTGTTCAGGTTATTGACTGGTTCTATCCTGGTACATGAGATGATGCATGCATGGTTGCGGCTTCAAGGTGCCTTTCGCTATCATAACCCTATTCTTTTTTCACTTATAGCACCCGGAATCCCCACCACTAATTCATATTCGCCCTGAGTCACGCCCTTGGAGTTTGACTCTTACTTGGGGTATACCCTACACAAGAGTCAATCCTTTGACCTTACAGTTACATCAGTAGTCCGCTTACCAACCTTGACTCTTACTCAGGGTATACCCTACACAAGAGTCAATCCTCTGACCTTACAGTTACATCAGTAGTCCGCTTACCAACCTTTGGAGTTTGACTCTTACTCGGGGTATACCCTACACAAGAGTCAATCCTCTGACCTTACAGTTACATCAGTAGCCCGCTTACCAACTACCTCAGACTGTTGAGTTTACCATAACCCTAAACTAATGTTACCACTTGGGGTGCCTTGTAGGTTATCCCAATCTTAGCCCAGAAGTCGAAGAAGGTATCTGCCAAGTCCTAGCTCACATGTGGTTGGATTCTGAAATTTTAGCCGGTTCTGGTAGTAGTTCTGATTCAACTTCATCTTCGTCATCGCCATCTTCAAAGAAGGGAAAGCGGTCTCAGTTTGAGAAAAAACTCGGTGAATTTTTCAAGCACCAGATAGAAACAGATGGCTCTGTGGCTTATGGTGATGGGTTCAGAGAAGGTAACAAGGCTGTGCTGAAATATGGCCTAAGGAGTACACTTGAGCACATCCGGTTAACCGGAACCTTCCCCTGCTAAGGCTCCTCTCTTCCACCATTAATACATTAAAGCATTTATACTACATTCATACATCCATTGCATCCAAATACAAAAATAAACTTGCTATTAAGCGCATAATATCTGCAGTACTGTAATCATTTGCAGTCTTTCTGGTTTCAAGTTTTCAACTTGCTTATAGTTGGGTTTTGTATATCTTCATATGAGAACACTAGTGTATACAGTTTTTAGACCCCTATTTCCAATAAAATTTTGATTAGCTGTGGCCCAAGCAGTGATTCCATGTTGAACTTGACAGATTACTTCATACTATGGTATACTCTCTGAACTCCTATATTTGATCTAAATTTTCATGTTAACCCGACTACTCGGGGGTACTCAGTAAGTGGGCTATTAATGCAACTGCAAAAACCGGAAGATTGGCTCTTGTATGCGTGTTCAATGATAAATGTTTCTGTGTTAGGCCTTCCCGAGAAAGAGTCAAACTCTACTAGCATGACCTAGACCAGATTTGTATTAGGTGCGTTTGGAAACCCGGAAAATGATTTCTGGAAATCATTTTCCGGGTTTCCGGTGGGAAAATGGAAATCAATGGAAAATAGGGGTGTGCCAAGCACCTTGTGCTCAGATGGCACTCGGGTTGGACTCTCATATGGGAGGTTGTGAGTTCGAGCCTCAGTGGAGACGTTATTGACAGATACTACATTGTAATAGAGTCAGTAGCATTCAAAAAAATGGAAAATAGAGGGAATTTACCGGAAAATGACTCCCATTTTGTTGGGGAAGTCATTTTCCGTTTGCAGCAGTGGAGCAGCTAATCACCCACCGCCACCACCACAAGGACAAACGCGTGCCGCCCTGGCTTGGGTTCTGCTGTCAGCCAAATCTCTGATGCATCTTTAAGAAATCAGGAGAAAGGGATTTGGAATAGAATATATGAAAGCAATTTGATAGTTTGCCAGTTCCTTTCAGTTTTCTGTGCAAGTTGGAATATTTTACATGGCATTGTTGCATATTTGACTGTGACATCTGCATAAAATAACAAACCAGACAGAGAAAACAAAAGGGAACCATACAAACAATGCTGCAGATGATTCCTTTAAAGTTTTGGCCTTTTCATAGACCTGTTGGATTGCCTTAATATAATCATTCTTTGTTAACCTTTCTGTCAACCTTTTTTGCAGAAAGCTCCAATAGACGTGGCAGCATCGCACGACGCTACCAGACTAGAGCATAAAAACTCAATTTTTTTACATTTCACCTTACAACAATGGCTATCTCTATTGTCTACTTGCTGAACATTGCTTTCCTCGTTTTCGCAGCCTCTAAGGTCACTGCTCAAATAGCACCTTCTCCAGACACCGACTACTCGTGCTCTGCTGACACTCCTGCATCGTGTGATACCTATGTCACGTATCGTGCCAGGCCGCCTTATATGGACCTGGGAAGTATATCTGACGTTATGGGAGTTAGCCGGTTAAGTATAGTGAAAGCGAGCGGGGTAGCCTCAGAGGGGGCTCGTTTGTTCCCCGACCAGATCTTGCTGGTGCCCATCAAATGTTTCTGCAATGGATCACGCTATTTCTCGAATGTCACCTATCAGATCAAGAAAGGCGACAACTTGTACACGGTTTCTACTGGTGCCTTCGAGAACCTCACGGACTATCATCTCGTGGAGGATTTGAACCCGATGCTGAACATAAACAACTTGACAATTGGCCTGGAAGTGATCTTCCCTTTGGTCTGTAAGTGTGTTGATCACTTGGTTTCAGACAAGGGAATTAGGTATCTTGTTACTTATGTATGGCAGCCATTCGATGATGCCTCGAGTGTCAGCCATATGTTTGGAGCATCTGCAACTGAGGTTGTTAGAGAAAACAATAACCGAAATTTCACAGCTGCCATCTGTCTTCCAGTGCTGATTCCAGTGAAATTCCCCATGATTCTGCAGCCTCCTCCCCCTTCCAAAAGCTCCAGACACAAGTGGATTATTCTTGTTGCCGGTTTGAGTTTTGCAGGCTCTCTCACCATTGTTTTATCACTCTCGATGATGGCTTACGTGAAAAAGAGAGCGTTTTTGCGCCAGTCTTCTTGCCCCGAAGCCTCTGATCTTATTCAGACAAAGAAAGGCTCCATAATAGATGAGACCTTTGAACCCAAGGCCATTAGTCAAGATAAGCTCCTTCCTGGAGTTTCAGGCTATCTTGGGAAGCCAATAGTGTATGATCTAAACGTCATCATGGAGGCTACGATGAATCTCAGTGAGCGATTCAGGATTGGGAAATCAGTCTACCGGGCGATTATCAAGGACCAGGCTGTTGCTGTCAAGAAAACCAATGATGCTGCAGAGGAACTGAGAATTCTGCAGAAGGTAATGTTAAATATAAATGAACTAGCATAAACTTTAATGAAACTTAAATGACAATGAGCCCAACCCTGTGATAGTCATTTTGTCTACGTCTTCTCTCCTGAATACTAGATGGTGTAGTGTATCTGTCTACAGAACTTGTGAGAGAACCGTTTTGCTTAGAAGCTTACGTGTCATGAGGCAGATAATCAGTTAAACCAGAGGCCCTGTTTGGTAAAATAGTTAGTTATCAGACAATTTTGGCTTATTTGACCACTATTAGCTGTTTGACTTGTTAAAAAATCAATATAAGTGTTTGATTAGTTAGTTTTTTGTAACAACTTATTGCTCCAAAATGCTAAAATTCAAAAAGCTTCCCAAAGTAGCTTTTTCGATCAGTTTTTTGAGAAAGTCATTTTGCATGTAATCAGCTATTAGCTAACAGTTAATTTACCAAACACTTTTCTAAATTCAGCTAATGTTATCAACTAGTCGAACCTACTAATCCGATCAGCTAACAGCTATTTACCAAACACCCCCATAATATATTATACTATATATGGAAAATTCTTACAGGTAAACCATGCAAACCTGGTAAAGCTGATGGGTGTCTCATCAGACAAGGAGAAGAACTTCTATCTGGTTTATGAATACGTTGAAAACGGATCACTAGACAAATGGCTCTTCACCAAACCTTCATCTTCAACCTCTGCAGCAGCAACCCTGACATGGAACCAGAGATTACAGATAGCCCTGGATGTCGCCAACGCCCTGCAATACCTGCACGAGCACACCCAACCGAGCATCGCCCACGGGGACATCAGAGCCAGCAACATCCTCCTGGACTCAAGATTCAGAGCCAAAATTGCCAATTTCTCCACAGCCAAGCACGCAGCCAGTGAATTAGCGGTGAAATCAGACGTTTTCGCCTTCGGGGTCGTGCTCCTGGAGCTGCTGTCAGGGAAGAAGGGCATGCAAGATGGCGGAGAGGTCTTGGAGGATGAAGAGAAGAGAGGAGAGAGGCTAAGGAGGTGGATGGACCCTGGCATTATGAAAGGGTTTTACTCCATTGATGATGCTTTGAGCTTGGCCGCCTTGGCAAAAGCATGCACTTCGGACAAGGCGTCTGAAAGACCAAGAATGACAGACATCGTCTTCAACCTCAGCTTCCTCACTCAATCTACGTTTGGAATGTTCCAAAGTTGTTTCACTTCTGGTGACGCCGAGGAGCCTGTTCAGATCTTAAGCCCTGTAACAGCTCGGTAATCTCATCAACCCAATGTAGGCAAATTATACTCGAAGAAAACGTTCATTTTTAGTATACTGAACATTCAAGTTTAGTATACTGAACATTCAAGTTTAGTATACTGAATGTTCATTTGAAAATGAATCCTCAGTATATTAAAAATGAACTTTTAATATACTTAAAATTGAACTAATATATTAGTGATCTATGGATGTGAATCATGGTCCATGAATAATGATTATTACAATGTATTAGGAAGTGTAAAGTAGCCATGTCTGTATATGAGTTGTTATACCATGGATCAGTATCCACTTTGCAAGGTGTACCATGGTCATAATTGATGTATAAATTATGTATTTTTAGTATTAGAATTGTGAACTTTTAGAATATAAATTGTGTTTTTAAGTCAAAACACGGGGAATTTGTGAATACAAAACATGGTCATCAAATTCTAATATGTTAATATTGTGTGACTGCAGTATTTGAAATGAACTTGTAAATAATAAGGTAATCAATTATATATATATTAACATTGTGTATTTGTAGTATATAAATTGTAAATTTTTAAAAAGTAAGGGTGTGTTTGGTTGACGGGTTTTGCTCACAGAAATGGGTATGAAAGTGATTGCTATTGTTTGGTTGATAGATTTGTAGAACACTACTATGGATTTCGAATACCACATTATTGAAAAACTCATACCAAAATAAAATAAGGGTTTCATTTCCTTCTCAAGCACTACTATTAGTAACTATTCTCATTCCACCCTACTACCAAACATGCTACATACTTTCACCAAAACTCATTACTATTACCAAGAATTTGATACTCATTCCAATTCTAATTCTTAGGTACAAACCAAACACATCTTAAATTGTGAACATTTAGACTTAGGTCCACGGAATAATTTGCCGCAAATTATGTTGTGCAACCGAATGCACCTTGCAAGGTGCATACGGTTGCAAAACGGCGCCATTTTGGTTAAAAAAACGCGCGTCCCACTTAAAGAAGAAATCAGGTTCGATTCCCGGCAATAGCATTTTTATATATCCAGAAATTCATAACTATATAACCACAATTTCATAACTATATATCCACAATTTTATAACTATATATCCACAGTGAATGAATGAAGTAAAAATCCACAATGAATGAATGAATGAAGTAAAAATCCACAATGAATGAATGAATGAAGTAAAAATCCACAATGAATGAACTAAATATCCACAATATATGATTGAACTAAATATACACAATGAATGAACTAAATATCCATAAATTCATAACTATATAACCACAATTTCATAACTATATATCCACAATTTCATAATTATATATCTACAATAATGCTATTACTGAGAGTCAAACCTGATTTTTTCTTTTTAAGTGGGACACGCATTTTTAATCAAAACGACGTCGTTTTGAACCGTATGCACCATGCGCATGGTACATTCGGTTGCACAGCATACCTATTGATAATTTGCGGTATATAATCTTTGAATGATTTCAAGTTTTCAACGTTTATATGGGCCGACAAAGATTTCATTGTTTAATATGGGCCGACAAAGATTCCACTGTTTAATATGGGCCTGCAAAGATCCCACTGTTTAATATGTATGCTCCGACAAAGATTTCACTGTTTAATGGCCGAATTATGCTGTGGATGGTGGTCCACAATGCATTGTGATTCAGGCATTAAATATACACTGTAATTTTCAACATAATTATAATATCATTTTGATATAATTACAATTTTGTTGGATAATATATACTCAAATATCTAAAATTGTTATTCAGTTTCATTTTGTATACACTGCAGTTTCATTTCAATACAACTACAGTTTCATTTCAATTCAAGAGCAGTTTCATTTGATAATATAATAAAAATAATACGTAAGACAGTATTATTTTAGATACATTATAGTATCCCAAAGATCTCACTGTTTAATATGGGCCGACAACTTTGGGCTACCAAAATGGGCTTTTCCGGATCTCAAAAAAGTTGACAAAGATCTCACGGTTTAATCCATCACTGAAGATTGAAGAATATGTCGGCGATGGGAACTTGCCCGTTGCCGCGCCCATCGCCGGCGGTTCATCTCCGGCGAAGTCAAAATCCAAATTTCTTCTCTTACAACACGGCGCCATGTTTCCCCTACGTGAGATGCACTCTGAACCCCACCTGCGCCACTATGGAAACCCAGTTCCAAGGCCGAATGTTCATTTTGGGAATGGGTTTCGTCGGAGAGTTCTTCGCTGCGGATTTGAAGAGTAAAGGATGGTAAGCGCCGTTTTCACCGGTCACCATTTTCAAGCGTTGACAGAGCTTACTTGTTGATTTTAATTTTTCTGTGTCTGTAATTACCTCAGGACTGTATCTGGAACGTGTACTAGCGCTGCCAAGAAGAAGAAACTGGACGAAATGGGATACGATGCATTTGTGTTTGATGCCAAAGATCCATTGTGAGGTTCATTAATCATTGTTATCCTAATTTTAGTTTTGATTTCACAATTGCAATTACTTTTTGTAGCTTTAGCTTTTTCTGCATATGAATGGATTGAAATCATGGGTAAAGTAGAGAGAGAGTGCTTTGGTAAATCTTTTAACTAAAATCAGTCTGGACTCTGGAGCTAAAGAAAATTAGCTTGAGCATCAATATAATTCATATCATCTAATCTGAATTTCTTGTGATTTAGCTACTTTTAGACCAAAACACTTGCAAGTCTTCAGTCAATTAGGTGTAATAATAGCAGATCCTATCTATCTTCTTTTTTTTTTTTTTTTTTTGGGGGGGGGGGGAAGGAGGAAAAACCGCAGCCACTACCGAGGTGTGCACGGGGTAAACCCGGCTTTATACCCATATGAGTAAACCAACCTCGGTTGTCCATAGCTAACTGGCTGAAAGCAAGAAGGCCAATAGGCCGCTCTCACTAGGAGTCGAACTTGGAATCTTGTGGTTACCAAGCCAACAACCAGACTAACTTGGCTGGAGTTGCCCCGATCCTATCTATCTTTAATGAGTAAAGAAGGTGAATTTGGACGGATTATCTTGTATACATTTTTGTTCTGGAAAAATTATTGTAATCAGCACATATGTGATCTTTAAGTTCACCCAAGTTTATGAGTTCATCTGTAAGAGTCATTGGTACAATGATGTCAACATCATGACTCCCACTCCTCTTTCCATTCTTTTCGCCAAGTTATCTTTTCCTTTCAATCTCTTTACGTTTTTTTCCCTGTTATCTTTTTCCTGATCATTCCTGTGTTGTGCTCCACTTTCAGACCAGAGGTCCTAGATGTCATGAAATGTCACTCACATCTTCTTATCTCCATTCCACCTGTTCCCGGCACTGGTGATCCCGTAAATAATACAAACATCTCTTCTTTGAGTTCTCGTACAGATGTTTAGTTTGAGTCTCACAGCATTAATTTTTGTTTTCTTAATATTCTGCTAATAATCATGTTTGCTACAGATGCTTCAACACAGAAAACTACTTAATAATAGATTGAAAGGTGGCGACCTCCAGTGGCTGGGCTACTTGTCATCAACTAGTATGACTTTCTCGTAAATTTCCTCTCAATTTTCTGTTTGCCCAAAAATATGTCAAGGGAAAGCTCCTATCTTTCTTGACTTGTAGGTGTATATGGAGATTGTAGCGGTGCATGGGTAGATGAAGAGTAAGTGTAAACCGGAACTGTCTTTTCATCAGTATATATGTCCAAAGCTGAAATCCTCATAGTTACCTCATCGAGTTGTGCATCATCATGTGCCAGATTTCCAGCAAGGGCTACAACTGAATCGGCCCGAGCTAGATTGGCCGCTGAAGAAGGATGGTTGCAGTTAGGTCTTGACCTTGAGATCGCTTCACAAGTATTTCGACTTGGTGGTATCTATGGCCCTGGCAGAAGGTTGCATTCAAACGTTTGATCTATTGGATACATTACCACCCTTTTTGTTTTGTCTCGAGAGAACTTATAAAATGATATCTGATGAAGTATGTCGTTTTTTCTTACAATGTTCCATGCAGTGCTGTTGATACCATTCTTAAGCAGGGGGCTCTTTCAAAGAGTCAGCTCGTGAGATCATCTAAGCGTTTCACTTCTCGAATTCACGTTGCTGACATCTGCCAAGCGCTCAATGCCAGTATTCAAAAGCCATCTCCCGGGTAAACTTGGCAATATTACTCTTCCTAGTTTTCCCAATTTATAACAACTATATATATATATATATATATATATATATATATATATATATATATATATATATATATATATATATATATAGGGTTGCATTCAAATACAAACCTCCTTAAAATACAAACTTGAGCTCGTGCACACATTAACATACTTATATGCACACAGGTCGCACTGCACATAGTGCACATAGTGCACACATTAGTTTGTGGATTAGTTTGTGCACACATTAACATACTTTAGTTTGTGGTTTAGTTTGTGCATACATTAGTTTGAGAGTGACACATTAGTTTGTGCACACATTAGTTTGTGGATTAGTTTGTGCACACATTAACATACTTTCATGCATATAGTGCAAAGGAGAAAAAATCACAACCATCCATCAAAGCTCGTGCACACATTAACATACTTACATGCACACAGTTTGTATTTTATGGGGGGTTTGTATTTGAAAATAATCCTATATACATACATATATATATATATATATATATATATATATATATATATATTGCATGGTTTTGAATGAGTGAAAGAAGTGGCGCATCCCCTTTTCAACTATGATTTATGATTCTCCCACCCCCGTCATTGCTTTTAGTAGCTGCAGGTTATTATATTTCCTTGTGAATTCATGGGAGAATGCATCAATGGGTTATTATATTTCGAGTGTCGTAAAAGTTGCTACTACATGAAGAAGCGTTTTCTCTTATGTGCTATTTACATTAAGAAGCATTTTCTCTTACGTTCTATTACATGAAGAAGCGTTTTGTCTTACGTGCTATTACACGAAAAACTCGTTTTCTCTTACGTGCTTGATTGCTTTTGCGTGGTTGCAACATATTTGGCAATTGTGATCCTAAAATGATCACTTACCATGTTTAAACGATATATTTTCTTGATTTGCCATTTCAGTAGGATATACAACATAGTAGATGATGACCCTGCTCCTAGAAAGGAAGTATTTCAATTTGCAGAGAGCTTGGTTGAGAAGAAATGGCCAGACAGCATCAAACAATGTAATCTTACTGAAGATGCATCTTCACTTGGTCCCAAAGGAGCTTATAATGGAGGTGAGAAGAGAGTTTCCAATGGCCGCATGAAAGAAGAACTGGGAGTGAGGCTGCTATACCCTACATACAAATCTGGGCTGGCAAGCATTGTTGAGCGCGTGGCCCGCCCTCCCCTGCAAAATTCATTGGCCGATTAAGGGCAACCACAATAGTAGTTTTTAGGTAGGTTTTTGAGGTGGAAATGCTTATGTGGAGGCGAGAGAAGAATTGAGAGTGTTACGGACTTACGAAATATAAATTATAAGGTGGACTACTGACATATAAGTTCATTTTCAGTATACTGAAGATTCATTTTTAATGTGTTTTACAAGTTCATTTTTTTTAAAGTTCATTCTTAGTGTAATGTAAATATATCAATTTTTATATTGTGGGTTAAAAGTTCACCTGCAGTTAACATTGTTATTGTGGATTAGAATTCACCTGTAGTTAACATTGTTATATTGTGAAACATATTATGTACTTTTAGTTAAGAAATTATATATTTATTATATATATTTACAGTTAATAAATTATGTACCTATGAGCAAATAACGTCTTTACTGAGGTTCGTACTCACAATCTCTCATATATGAGTCCAACATGAATGTCCTTTGAACACAAAGTGCTTGACACATAATATGTTAATTGTATTTACTTTTAATTAATAAATTATGAAGTAATTACAATTATCATGTTATCTACTTGTCTACTTGCCGTTAATAAATTGTATATATATTATAATTAATGCATTAATTATGGCAAATTATGCCCTGGACCCGTGTCCACAATTCATTGTGGACACGGGCCCAAAACGACATCGTTTTTCAAAAAAAACGTGTCATTTAGTTAAAAAAAAAAAAAAAAAAAAAAAATCGCGCGCGTTTTGCCGTTGACGGCGTTATTTTTTTTTTTGGATTATGAATGTACAGTTGTGCAATTATGAAATTATGAACACAGAACTCAAACATTATGAACTTACAATTATGAACATATATAGTGATAAAATTATGACCATGGAGCTTTAAAATTGTGAATATAGAGCTTCGAAGATTATGAATGTACAGTTATGGAGTTATGAATCTACAGTTATAGAGTTATGAATCTACAGTTATGAGATTATGAATCTACAGTTATGGAATTATGAATGTACAGTTATTGATCGAATTATGAACAAAGAGCTCTAACATTATAAACTTACAATTATGAACATATAGTGATAAAATTATGAACATAGAGCTCTAAAATTGTGAACATAGAGCTTCGAAAATTATGAATGTACAATTATAGAGTTATGAATGTACAGTTATGGAGTTATGAATGTACAGTTATGGAGTTATGAATGTACAGTTATTGAGTTATGAATGTACAGTTATAGAGTTATGAACGTACAGTTATGGAGTTATGAATGTACAGTTATTAATAATATAGTAATAAAATTATGAACATATACTCCTATGAAGCGGTCTGAAATTAAAAAAAAAAAAAAAAAAAAAAAAAAAAAAAAAAAAAAAAAAAAAAGATAACAGTGCCTAACGGCACTGTTACCCGTGTCCACCAAGCATGCTGGACACGGGTCCAACGCATAACGATTAATTAATTATAGATACATAATTTGAATGTTGTTTTGGATTAGTAATTCACTAATTTACCCCTATAAGGAGGGGAGAATGTGGCGTTTGATATACTTGGATTGGGTTATCGGTTGGACTGATAAAATTGAACACGGATGAGTTTTAGTGTTTGGACTATTAGATAGAATCTTGTTTATGATAACTCTGACACTGCTAAAATATGAAATATTATAGCTAAAAATATTAGTCACTTCAAAGCAAAATTATTTACTTTGAATTATTATAGCTAAAAATATTAGTCACTTCAAAGCAAATTTATTTACTTTGAAATATGTTCAATAATCAAATACAATCATGATAGCAACAATATAATGAGAAAAGGAACAAGAGTGGAAGAATTTGGATAGAGATGAGATGGTAGTAGATAGCTTTGATACGTGTTGTGGGGTTGGGTTGCTTTCTGCTACAGTTTCAGGCTTTTTCATTCAGCGGCATGGTCGCCGCGTCTGTAATGAATATCCTTTGTCACTTTCGTGGTACGTGTACGAAGGATACTCCTACGTTTATTTCCACCGCGATAGGCTCAAATTAAAAGCCTCCATCCTCGTCACCATGTATGTACCATATGAAGCAATGCTACAAATTTTTCATGTATTTTTTCTCCTAAAGTGGCAATGATTGGTAGCTACATTTATTTTTTAATTAGTGATGGAGTCGGTTAATTCATTAATACTCAATGAATGAAAGTCACCTCATGAAGAGAAAGTTTGAAGGAAAAAATCAAGAGGAAGAAAGCATTTTTCTATTATATGTTATTGAAAAATGATAGATATTAAGAAAAATGGTCAAATAGATGGATTCTGACTACCTGCGACATAAAGAAGGTGACTTGGTTGCCTTCTTTAGCGAAAAAAGCGACCAAATGGTTGCCTTCAATTCTCCTATATATAAAGAAGGTGACTCCGTCGGAGAAGGCAACCATTTGGTCGCCTTCCAGTGGAGAAGGCGACCAGCAAGTCGCTTTTCTCTGCTGATTTGAAGAAGGCAACTAGCGATCGTTGACGGTGCTGGAACATTGTAGTCGATAGTCAGAATCGCACCGAAACCTTAGTGACCACCTCATTTACCAATTTCTAAGCTTTAATGTTCAAAAATCACATTTTCCCTATATATTAGTATAATTTTGCTACAGAAGTTTACACTTGAATTAGGTATCTTATATGTTACTGAAAAATATTATTAGTGTTATGATTTTGCTCTAGATTTCACTCAAATTGGATTTGTTGGGTGGTTGGGAGTGCGAGGGTGCTAGCCCTACGAATAAAAAGAGTTAATTCTACTGGAGGTCCCTTGTTTTTTGTGGTAATTTTAAATTTAGTCTCAGACTATCGTTTTTTGGACACTTTTAGTCCTTCTCATGATTTTTTCTATTTTTAATAAGGACATTTTTGTCTCTTCATATTTTTCTTTTGTTATTTTTCTGGTTTCAACTGGTTTAATTGGTTTAGGACTTTACTAAAAATTGGTTGAAAAATATGGTTACTAAAAATCAGAGGTTACCTAAAGTTCTAAACCAATTAAACTGGTTGAAATTGAAAAAATAACAAAAGAAAAATATGAAGAGACAAAAATGTCCTTATTAAAATAGAAAAATAATGAGAACGACTAAAAGTGTCTAAAAAATAATAGTCTACGATGTAAAATAACAAAAACAATAGTCTAAGATTAAATTTAAAATTGCGACAAGATCCTTTGATGGAATTAACTCGAATAAAAAGAACATGGTAGGCACTCAAATTGGGTACATTGAGTGGTTGGGTGTGCGGTGGCAGTACTAGCCGTGTCACCCGTATGGATAAAAAGAATGTTGTTGTCGCTCTGCACCGGGATTCGCACTCAAATTGGGTTCACTGGGGAGTGCGAGGTAGTGCCCTACATGGGTAAAAGGAATTATTTTGTTTTGGTAGACGTAAGCACACTCTCGAACTACTTAAATCTTGCATTTTTCTTTTGTTCTTGTTTTTGTTCTATTTCTTGGTCTGATTTTTTCTCAACAAATACATTCTTGCAAATTGACTCGTGAGTCGTGACTGACAATGAGTCAATGATGAATTTGGTTCGATTTATGAGCCATTCATGTACTCTCACAGTACAACCACCAACAGATTTTGGATTATAAAACGTGAATGGAGTTATGGAGACAACCTGCAAACTCTTTCTGTTTTGTGGCCAACTAAACCATATTTTGTCCTACTTCAACAAAGAGTGTTTTTTTGTACGCGATTATCAGCTACAATCAAACATAATATGTTTGATTGCATGTATATATTAATGCTAACGGGACCTAGTATGACTCAAATTGTACATATAATTGTACTCGTTACAAATTAAAATGACATATTAAGAGGTCCAATTTGAGGTTTAATTGAGGCTGTTGTCAATTGACTGGACAGGAATTGGAGGATATCGATCTGTGTAATTTACCGTGAAAAAAATAGAGTGGCGGACGCTATTGCTACCTTGGGTACTCAATAGCAACACAGCTTGGTAGATTTAAAAACATGCCCTCCTTGTAGTGAAGAGTTTGTCCTTACTTATATAGTACGGGTGACGAGCGCCCGTAAAGCGAGGGAGAGTGCCTAAGTTTGAGTCTCACCTTCCTGTTTTGATTAAAAAAATGACATGAGTCCCGATCAACGATAAATTTAAGACAAATATATTTTTAAAATTTTGATTTGAGTGGCGTGAATAAAATAACTAAGTAATTTTTGTACTCCAAATTAATATGAAGTTATATGAGTCTATGAGAAACTTATTTAAAGAAGAAAGCTTAGAGCATTACTGGAAGTAAGCAAGCAAGTAAACTGTGTTAGTTGAGGAATCCTTCATTTCCGTTCCGATAGCGCCGCGCCGCGCCGACTCAAGTCTTCAACATTGCACCGCCTGCTCCGCCTAATCTTCATTTCTGGGAGATCCATGGAGGCGTCCATGTCGTTAGCTCAGAATTCAGGTCCCTATTGCGTGGCGGAGAAGAAGCCATGCGTGGTTTGGGTGGAGAAGTATTTCAAGGACTGTCTCTGCAACATCAGCGACGACTTCTCCTTCGTTCTCGGCCTCTTCAGCCTCATCTGCTGGGGCGTCGCTGAAATCCCTCAAATCGTCACTAACTTCCGCACTAAGTCCAGCCATGGCGTCTCCCTTCTCTTTCTCCTCACTTGGATTGCCGGGTTCGTTTTTCACTTCGAATTTCTCGTCTTTTTGCTAAGATTGTGTATATATCACCACCTGTTTGATTTTATGTCTCTTGATTTTTTGATACAGAGACATATTCAATCTAGTTGGCTGCCTTCTTGAGCCTGCAACTGTAAGTTTTCTGGTTAATTATTTTCCATGTAATCTTTACCAGTTTGCTAGCTGCTAAAGATGTGTAATTTTCTCTCCTTTTTTGGTTGCTCGCAGTTGCCAACCCAGCTCTACACTGCTCTGGTAATTCTTTCTGCTCAGTGTTGTGTTTTTCTTTCTACATAAGCCGCCATTGTAATATGTGAGAGTCTGAGAGATAACATATTCTACCATTATTACTTTGTTTTGATATGAATTGTTGGGCAGCTCTACACAGCAACTACAGTGGTACTAGTGTTGCAAAGTATGTACTATGATTTCTTGTATAGATGGTGGAAAGACAAGGAGGATGCTGGTGATTCTAATCAGCTGGTATAACTAATTATATGTTTGGAAAAATTGCATTTTTGTATTTTTCAATCATACTTGTGGTACAGACTGAGTCCTTGATTTCATGTGTATCTTTAAACTCTAAGTTATAGCAATTTTAGTCTCTTAGGAACAATTTCTTTCATCAATATGTCAGTTAATAAAGTGGTTGTTTGGTCCTTGAGAGACTAAAATTGTCATTTTGGACATAACTTCAGGATTAAAGATAGTCAGATATATAAGTTTGTACCACGAATATAATTGTACCTGAAAAAGAATGTTTAGTTATACATAGTTGTTGAATGATGATGAATAGGTGGAGGAAGCAAAGAAGCCTCTACGGCGGAACAAATCTGGTGGCTCAGGCATTCCAATACCTGATGGGGCATCCAGACCAGCACGGCAGCACCAGGCTGAATACTATTACACGTGAGTTAGTTTATACCGAATTTCTCTCTAATTTTTGAATGTGAGATTCTCAACACTCTCACTCGAGGCCTCAAGTGGAGAACGAGGCCATTTTGAATCTAAAATGGTTGAATGTGCAGGTCAGCGAGATCTATGGCGGGTAGTGCAACTCCACCATTTAGGTCTAATTTGGTCAAGAGTGGCCCTTCAGCTTTGGGAATGGACAATGACTGCTCTTCTGATGATGAAACAGTGGAGGCACCATCAATGAATTCCATTAGCCAGCCAAAGCCTATCCCACGATCTGTAAGCACTAAGCACTATATCTTCTTTTGAATGATTGGTTAATATAATATGCGAGTCTTTGTCAGAAGTGGAAGATGACAATCCATTGACATGGCAACTTGCTTGTCTGTGTGAAGTTTGGCATTTACTTTTTATCTGTAGAGATGAGCTTATCTTTGCTTTGCAGCTGCTCAGACCTGGAGAACTTGTATCCTTAAAAACAACCCAGTTTTCTAATCATTATGCAAGTATATATATAAAACCACAAGAATCAACTCAGATTATCATTCTTAGAACCTTTGGATTATTACAACATTTTTTTTTTTTTTGAGCTACAAGGGAAACTCGTAGCCACTACTATCCGAGAATGTGTATTGGGTAAATCTAGCCTTGACCGGCTCAAACCAAGAAGACCAATAAGCCTCTCTCGTCCCGGTCAACCCAAGAAGACCAATAAGCCTCTTCCGTCGGGAGTTGAACTTGTAACCTTGTGGTTACCAAGTCAACAGTCAGACCAAGTTGGCTGGGTTGCCCCCGATTATTACAACATTATGATCAATTATTTTGACAATCAATAACTGTTATGTGGAAAATTCGAATTGCAGGCAGGTTATGGTGCATTCTTGACTACTTCACTCAGCATACCTCATCAAACAAAGGCTTTGATGCCTGTGTATGCTGCACTTGGTGGAAGGAAACTGCTACAGGTTTGAATCAATTGGACTGATAGCTTATAGCTATCTACCTGCTCATAGCAAAAATCAAGATGGAATCTGAGATTTTGTCATGGAGTTTTGCAGGGAAGTGGAACAGAACACAGCAGTTTTGGGCAATGGTTAGGGTGGATGATGGCTGCCATATATATGGGTGGCCGAATACCTCAGATCTGGTTAAATGTGAGTGTAATGAAGTACTAATGAACAACTTCCCAGTGTTTGCCCCTTGTTTTTGAATCCCATTTTTCTCTTAGTTGGCTTCTCATTTTCACTCTTTTCTTCTTCCATCAGATCAAAAGAGGGAGTGTGGAGGTAATTCTTGAACTTCTCTCTTACATCTTAACTCTTAAGTCTAATTCAGAATACTTGAGACCTAGTTTGACAGCATAGAAAAAGTTTGAGAAAGTGTTTCTGACCTTGTAGGGATTGAATCCACTCATGTTTATTTTTGCACTTTTGGCCAATGCCACTTACGTGGGAAGGTAAGCTCCCTCTCACCCTACCAATGCTAACCCGTTGAGCAAGAGCTCTTACTGCAGTATTCCCCACTTTCTCTTTTGCAGCATTCTTGTGAGAACAACAGCATGGGACAAGATCAAACCAAACCTGCCTTGGTTGTTGGATGCTGCTGTCTGTGTCGGGCTGGACTTATTCGTATCCTTGACTTCTCAAATTCATCTCTTCTGTATTGTGGCTCCAAACATAGCACAGACAAGTCGATTCCTTCATTTATATATTAATTAAACCAGTTGAAATAAGCAAGACAAGATGAAGAAAAATTGAAAAGATTTCTGTTTTTCATGCTCTCTTTCATTCTTCTCTTAAGCTGTTCTGCCTTAAAAGAACTGATAGATCATACTACAATACATATACTACAGATACTGCAGAAAGAACAGCGGTGGAAGCAGAGAAGACTCCGCAGACTACAGCTAAATGAGCAAACAATGAAGACACAACACACAAATGCATTGACAAGAAATAGTAACTTCTCATCCTCTAGTCACAATCTAATGATCACAGATCTATTGTTGTGTAACTTGAGTCTGATATTTATCATAAGACAACATTTTCTGCTTCAAGTCTGTTTCCCCTTGTCGACTTTGCCCCGAGTGATAAACATCAGACAATGTGAAAACAAGAGACTTGTTTTAGCAGTTTTTTCTCAGTAACTAATCAGCTCTAGAATCTAAATTCAATCGAAAGAGTTCCACAATTAACGATTCTTTATCTTTCAACTAAGCAGTACCAAAATAGAAAGAATATATACAACATAGGAAAACAAAATCTATGATCAAGCCATTCAAACTTGCTGAAACCATAAAATGAATGCATTATTGAAGGAGCCTAAAACAAGAAATCTTCAAGCCTAAGTAGCCTGTGAAACTAGTTTCAGCGAGCAGCAGAATACAACTTCTGTATATTCAGCGACAGTCTATGCATCTTTGATAAACTACATTAAATGGTCCTCATGACATGACATTTAAAGCCTCCTAATTTGTTGATTCAGTATGATGCAATACTTAGAACCACTACAAAATTCAGTGAAGTGGCAATCTTCTGCTGAAAGATGGATTTCTATTCATTTAGCATAGTAATGGCTATAAATCCTATAATAATCAGATTGCCAATGATGAAGATCATAAACATGTCATTTCTTGGCAGGGGTAGATACAAAACCAATAGGTGCAATGAGTGCAAGTAATCTGTTACAACATACATACATATAGGCGGTCAATCAAAGAGCGAGCATACCGTGATTCCTACCAAGGGTAAGGAATTAGCCTTGTTGTGGACACCAGTATATAAGCACTTTGAGAAACTGTAGACCGTTAGGCTCAGGAGCTCTCGGGATTGGAGTGCAATCCTAAATAGAGAACATGCCATTGCCCGAGCTGCTAGGGCTGGGTTCATTAATCTTTTTCAAGATTACTGCATGTGCCATCCTGATATCTCGACTACACTTATCAGCTTGGTCAGTCAAAACCTGAATGGTTTCCATGAAAGAAATGACATTCTTCTTGATGTCCTCCATTGCACTACTCACTGCATCATTTTGCTGCATAGCAAAATCAGCATTGTACAACAATCCCTGGATCTGTTCCTGCAATCTATCCACCAAACGCTGGATGCTCTCCAAATCTTGAATCACAATATAATTCCCAGCTCCAATTGTAGTCAGGATCTCCCTTTCCCTCTTAAGATCATTCTCATACTTCTTCCACATATTGTTTATCCATTTCCCCACAGTCCCCAGGGGCACCGAGGCCGCTGCCGCCAGAGCCGTCACCACTGGCGGCGCCGTGACGACAGCCGCCACCACTGAGCAAATCAGTACAGAGACAAACACGGTTGCGAAGATTACATTGGATATTCTCCTCCATGACTTCACCTTCCGCAGCTTCTTATCGAGTCTACTCTTCTTCTCCTTCATCTTATTCAACATCAATTCTTGCTGTTTGTAGACGGAATGGAACAAGGAGAAGAACTTCTCGGTGAATGGGTCCCCGGCATCCTTGAATTTCTTCAACTCCGCTAGCGTCTTGGAGTAGAGCTGAACTGAATCGTGCCCCGGTTCAGTAATCTTAGCGGATTCCTCCTCGAATTTCTGTAATGCGAATCTGAGTATAGACTGGCTGTGATGGGCCCTCTGCAAGGCATCCTCGAGGGCGGTGCAGAAATTCATGGTGTGTCGGCTGTTCTCCAGGTACTCCTTGACGAGATCGAAGAGGTCCGGGTCTTTCCAAATATCCTTTTTGCTTTCGAGAATTAGGTTTACCACCTCCTGGTTCATCTCGAGGAAGCACAAGGTGACCTCGCGGAGAGAATCGAGGGAGAGGGCGCGGTAGTCGAGTGTGACGGCGACAGAGTTGATGGCTTTAGTGGTTCGAGCTTGGAGAGCTGAATCGAAGGCGCGTAGGTCTGGATCCTCTTCGCATGCCGACTCGTAGGAAGTCAAATCGGGTGAGTCATCTGAGCTGGAGGTGGTCGCCGGCGGCGACGGTGCAGAATCCGGTGGTGGTTGCCGGTGATTTGAGCTCTGGTCTCTTGTTTTGCTGGATCGATTGCCCATTTTCCAGAAAATGTTAAGAGAATTTGGAGGTTACGTGTAGTCAAAGTTTGGAGATTTTGAATGTGATGAATTTGAAGCTGGTAAGTACGAGTATGGAATTTTGATGGAAGGAGAAGAGACGAAGACGACAGACACAAAGGGTAAAATAGGAAAAAGATCCGGTTGGTTCACTTTGATTTATGACTCTGTCATTTTTCTAATGCTGAAAAATGAATATCTTTCTAGATACCTCAAATAAAGAATTAAAAATTTATGTTATTGGACTATAATGCCTTCGGCCCCACTCAAGTATTTGGAACTCTTTTTGCCATATTCGTCTTTACTTATAATCCATTCTATTAATGTGATCACTTTATACATAGATTATACATTTATTCATTGCTTTTTCATGCATTTTTTTTTCAAAAGTAACAATTCTCATGTAGTGTATAAACATGGCATTATTATATGCTTTATGAATTATTTATTGACCAATCAAATTATTTTTTTTAATAGTTAATATATATTTTTATGTGTTAGACTAACTTCATTCCAGAAATTGAGTGTCTTGCTAAATAATTTGGCAAGAAAGAGAAATTGTCCTCCTTTTTTTTTTCAGCCTACATGAATAGCAAAGGGAAAGAGAATTGACTAACTCATAGCAAGTGGAGCTAGAGAATTTGTTAATTTAGTAAGTGGAGAGAGAATTGACAATGGTAGTTTTTTATGGCAAATTATGTTGTGGAATTGTGTTCACCTTGCAAGGTGGACACAGTTTCAAAACTATTCATAATTATAAATATATAGTTCAAAAATTATGAATATATAGTTCTATAATTATGAACATAGAGTTGTGAACATAATTATGAATATATAATTCTATAGTTATGAATATAAAGATTCAATAATTGTGAATATGAAGTTTAAAAATTATGAACAGAGTTAATTCCACCAAATGTCTCTTGTCTTTGGTGGCCAATTCCAATTTTAGTCTCAAACTATCGTTTTTGTCATTTTACATCCCAGAGTATTATTTTTTGGACACTTTTAGTCCTTTCGAATATTTTTTCACTAAGATCTTATTTTTAGTAAAGGCATTTTTATCTTTTCATTTTTTTTTTACTTTACCTGTTTTCACCGGTTTAATTGGGTTATCGTAATAGGGCCAGTTCTTTTAATTATTAGGATTCAATCGACAAATCCCTAACTCAACTTCATCTCCTTCAGTTCAATCAACAAAATCCTTAATTGTCGCCCTAAATCTGTAGTCCCAAATCCCTAAATTCCCCTAAGGATTTTGTGCACTTGGAATTGGTCATTGAAGTATTTAGACTTGGTAATTAGTTCTTTTGTATTTTGAACCTTAGCTTGTGCAAAATTGTGTAACTACACTTGGCGATGGTGATTGAATAATTTTTTTTATATGATTATGTTTAAAATCTAAATAAGTTAAAAACAACGGTTTAAAACCGTTGTCTTTCATATATTTCAATTTTTGACAAAACACAAAACACGGTTAAAAACTGTTGTCTATGGGCGTGACTTTTAACAACAGCAATGTCAACAACACTCAATAGACAACGGTTAAAAAATGTTGTCTATGTGCGTGACTTTTAACAACACCGGTTTCAACAACACGTCAACACTCAATTGACAACGGTTAAAAAACCGTTGTGTTTTCTAGAAAAGACAACAATTAAAAATCGTTGTCTATGTGCATGACTTTTAACAACACCGGTTTCAACAACACTTATTAGCTAGACAACGGTTCAAAAACCATTATTGTTTCTATAAAAGACAACGGTTAAAAACTGTTGTCTATGCGCGGGACTTACAACAACACTGACTTCAACAACATAAATTTTACCCCTATGACAACGGTGAAAAACTGTTGTCTATGTGCATTTTTTTTTGTAATAGGACGAAAGTGCATGGCTACTTAGGCAAACCAATTAACCAATTAAGCTGGTTGGTTTATTATCTTCTAGCATTTGTAACATACCATCTGCCCATTTTCTCCTTGGTTGAGCAAAGATTTCAATTTTCAACAGTAACGTAACGTGCGGTGAAATCAATCTTCAACACTGAGACAGAGAGCAAGATGAATGGAATGAAGCATCGAAGACGATTCCACTCGATCGAATTCTTTCCAGGTTTGATTACATAACTGTCATTCAATTCCATGCCTGAATTTCATATACAATTTCCGATCCAATGTTATTAGGTTATTTGTATATGATCTGATCGTCGATTTCAACTGCATTGTTCCGCCATGGTCGAACAACACATAATCATAATCACCATGTACGGATCGGAGTAGTTTGTTAGTTTGCTGAGAGAGTTGGTGTGCTCTGCATTTCAAATTTTATTCCAAAGCCCTGAAGTGATATATATGTTCCTGCACAATTAGGCTGGACCCTTTACCTTTTATCATGAGATGGGTCTGCAATGTCCCTTGCCTGTTCAGTGGGTTCCATGCTTCATACTACTTTGGAATCATCCAACTGTGCCAAGGACAGACAGCTTCTACACTTCGGCTTGTTTTTTCAACATTCATGGATTCAAATTCAAATTTAAGAAGCCCAATCAAATCGCCATCTCACCGACTTTGTCCAAGTGGGTACATTGTAATTTGGTTGTAAAGGAATTAAAATTCAGTGAACAAAGTGAATTACATTGTTTGGTTAGAGGGAATTGCAATTTCCTATTTTGTTGAATTGCAATTCATGAGAAATTCAATGGATGTGAGAAAGGAAAAATAGGTCTGCAAGGGTTTAGCTCAATGGTTCAGTGGACAGTATTTGGGAGAAGAGACCAAGGTTCGAACCTCGGCGGCGGTCGTGTGAGAATTATATCCAAAGTGGGCAGATTCCTTGTGTGCACCGACATTTGGCCCTGTCCACTGAACCATTGAGTCACCGTTACATCCTCCCAAATGCTCCGTTGAACCATTGAGTTACCGTGGCCGGGATGTAGGGGGGCCTCAACGAAAAAACGTAATTTGAATTCTTACTTTATTCTCACATTATTCTTTTTCCACCAAATTACAATTCTTTTCTCTCATAATTTATTTTTTCCAACTAAATTAGAGTTTTGAGTTCCGAATCATCTCCGGGTTTAAATAACATTTTCTTTTGTGAGACAGTTGTATATGTAAATAACATTTTCTTTAATTTTGTAGGGCAGTTAGTTGTACCGTATGTAGGGGCTTTTATATATTTATTATTATTATTATTTTGAATGCTACTGACTCTATTACATTGTAGTATTTATTCAAACATATTTTCTCAACCTATTAAAACACAAAGAGTCAACAACGTCTTCACTGAGATTCGATCTCATGAACTCACATATGGGAGAGGTTACTACATGCTATATTTATTATTGGAATAAGGGTCAAATAGGCCATCGAACTGCACACAATAAAACAATTAGACCACTGAACTTAAAAAACCAACAATTGGGTCCCTAAACTAATCAATTTCAAACAATTCTTCCAATTTGAAGGTTTCCAACAGATCAACAGGTCATCCTTCCAAATTAATTATTTTTTAAAATTTAAATTTTAAAAATTAATTATTTAAAAAAATAAAAAAAAAATAAATAAAAAACCTGGTTCCAGCCGGAGACGGTTGTCTCCGGCTGGATTCCAGTTTTTTTTTTTTTAATATTTATATTTAATTTATAAATAATTAATTTTTAAAATTTATTTTTTAAAAAAAATAATTAATTTGGGAGATGACCTGTTGACCTGTTGGAAACTTTCAAATTGGAAGAATTGTTTGAAATTGATTAGTTTAGGGACCTAATTGTTGGTTTTTTAAGTTCAATGACCTAATTATTTTATCGTGTGCAGTTCGATGACCTATTTGACCCTTATTCCTTTATTATTTAATGTGTTTACTATTTTTGATTTTGTCCATGTAGTCCGAAATAATTTATGGCTGTGAGTTTAGATAACTTGTTCTTTTTAAAGGACGGTTGTACTTGTTCACCAAGTTCTTGTATGTTTATTATTTTACTATTTTAATTTATAGGTAATTCAATACTAAGGTACGCTGCAAATGTGTTTGGTTCATATGTTTATTTATTTGTCATGATGAAGAGTGACAATTAAATACTTTCAGAACAATAAGAATGATGAAATAATGAAAAAGGGTCAAATAAGCTCCTACAATTTATCTGAAAAGTCAATTAGATTCTTAAATTTTTAAAAAGTACAATTACACCATTTAACATGTCAAATTAAGGCAATACAGCCCAAGAATCGATAAATGACATGTTATTACAGGTCATTTCAGTTCGGGCATCATATCCGGCGACGGTTTCGGCCATTGCCGGTCGCCATCTACCATAAAAGGCAACCAGTTGGTCGCTTCTCCCTACAAAAGGCGACCAGCTGGGCCGCCTTCCGCCGAGGAAGGCGACCTTTTTCTGGTCGCCTTCTTTGGATAATGCGATCATTTGGTCGATGGTGATGTTTTCCGGTAAGATTTCTTCAGTTAACGGTGTAAAATCCCGTATTTCTTTTTGGTAACCGATAAATTTGACTTATTTAACCAAAAATAACATGTTTGAGGGTTTAATTGTATTGCACTTTTTAAAAGTTTAAGTGCCTATTTAACTTTTGGCGTAAAGTTTATGAACTTATTTGACATTTTTTTCCAGTAATAATTTGATTCCAATCTTGAATTTCATATATGAACCGAAAGTCCATTTGTACATTGAAAAAGTTACAATTTTTATTTTTGATTGATTATAATACATTTACAGGGCGTTTGGTTGGAGGGATTTTAAATTCCCTTCCCACTTAATTCCCACTTAATTCCAAAGGCCATTAAATTCCGTAGTTTGGTTGGAGGGAATTACAATTCCCCCATTTTCATAGAATTAAAATCTCATGTCCCCCTGGTATTTTAATTCCTGGGAAAAAAAAATAGTGATGAGTCAAAATTACCCATTTATTTTTTAACCTAAAATTAATGTCTAACAACAATAATAGACATTTTTGACTTTATACTACTTATTCCCTTTCAATTCCCATGTATACCAAACATTGGAATTGAAATTCCCAGTAATTCTATTCCTGTCAACCAAACACTGAAATTTAAATTTCCACTTTATTCCAGTAATTCAACTCCCATAGAATTACAATTCCTTTCCCACATAATTCCCCCCTTCCAACCAAACGCCCTGTTAGGGTGTGTTTGATTCGTACATGGGAACCGAAATCGGAATGAGAATCAAATACTTGGTAATGGTAATGAGTTTTGGTGAAAGTAATTTGCATGTTTGGTAGTATGGTGAAATTTAAATGATTACCAATATTGTTGTTTGGTTATATATGATCAGGGAATAACAGTTTTTAAAATACAAAAGTAAAAAATCAAGACATTTTATTCTAATATAAAGACATCCAAAGCATCAATATGAACAAAAAAAAAATATATCTTAAAACACTAATCCAAACTTACAAATCAAATTACCAATTAGGAGGGAAAATAATGGAATGAAATCCTTATTTTATTAGGGAATGAGTTTTATAATGAAGGTGGTAATCACATAGTAGTGTTTAAAAAACATGTCAACCAAACAATAACAATGACTTTGATTCTCATTCATGATAGCTAAATTCATGAACTAAACACACTCTTAATGATACGAAGTAGAATATTAAATAGAGAACAAGGGAATTAATTCTCTTTAATGTCACATTAATAAATAAATATTATAATTTCAAAACACATCATTCTTAAATAAAATAATTTTTGTCAAGCACCTCGTACTCAGATGACATGTAATAATTTTGTTAACAATGGCAAGTTGAAAAATCTTCAAATGTTTACTCACTCACTAGTACTCACATAAGGTTAAATTTATACTTCATTTTGTATTCTCAATACTAATTATTAGAAAAGTAAAATGTATAAATTTATTTTTGGTTAGTTTAACGTGTTTGGGGTTGTAATTCGAGTATGGATCATGCATCACAACTTAATATATTTTATGTATACAAATAATGAATATTGATTCACAAATAATGAACATCATACAACATAAATAAGGATAAAATATACATGTGTAAATAATTAATTTTCAATCAATTTGTACATACTCAAATAATAAATATTATGTACACAAATAATGAATTATATATATATATATATATATATATATATATATATATATATAATGGTTCCAATGAGAACACTTGTTTATGTGAGAACGTGAGAATAAATTGTGTGCATCTACTTAATATTTTTTAATAGTGTAGATTAGATTAAGTACGTGCGAACGCGAATTAAATGTGTGCAAAACTAATATAGTCTATGCATCATTAATTTAGTTGTGTGGACTATGCTCTAAAGTGTTAGTGGTGACCATGAAAAGTGAAAATGGAGAATAGACATTTTACTAACATTATCATTTCCGTATTTCAACTGATTACTACTACGAAAGAAGGAACATTTTGGCTGCGGTCCCAAGTCCAACTCCATCACTGCTCGAAAACCCTCCTCCACCTGAAACCACCAACGCCACCGCGATTTGATTCTTCGGCCCACCTAAACCCTAGTTCTCTCCGCCGATATCTCTCTCCTCTATTCCCCACTTCTTCTCTCTATCTCCCGTCTCCCCTTCCTTCGTATGGCCTTATAGCGCCCGCGATTGCATCATCGCCGCATTCCAACGCGACATCCATCCAATGGACTCTCGCCGAGTTTCGCGGGCCGTGAGCGACCCGAAGGTCCGTCAAGTTGGGTTCTTCGCTCCCGGAGCCCCGCCGGACCGTTCCCAATCGGGTCCGCCCGATCCAACGTCATCCTCTCCGCCCGTATCCGATATATCCCCGTCCGGTAACTCGCTGTCTCCCGTGATGATTCCGCCGCCGCGCCACTTGTCGTCTGACCTCTCTCGCGCGGCGGCTCACTTCCCTCCGGTTCCGCTCTCCCCGTCCCCGCTCCACCGCGACTCCATCCCGGTCGGCAGCTACAATCCCTCGGAATTCACTTCCCCTACTGCGTCTGACTTCACCGAGGATGCTCTTTCGCTGAGCCGAGCTGGCAAGGGAGATTCTGGAAAGTTCGCGACCTCGCTTCCTACTGGTGGATTCGACATGACGGGCGCTAAGCAGAACAACAGCTTTCGCTCTGCTGGTTTAACCACAGTTTCCATTGTGAACGAACCTCCAGAGGTAGCAGGTATTGTTTCTCTCTCCCTGGTTTGACCCGATTCTATTCAAGGGAATGCCGTTTTAATGTCGGGGCATTGTAAATTCTGCTACTTGTGTAGAGAAAGATGGACGAGCATCTGCTGCAGCACATAAAGAGCGAGCAGCAAGTTCAAAACCATTGAAGGAGAAAACCACCAAGGCTGAAAGGCGCGCCATTCAGGAGGCTCAACGGGCTGCAAAAGCTGCAGCTAAAGGTACTCCATAATTTATTTCACTCCACTTTCTACAACTTATTCTGCATTATAAGTTATAATAACAATTTTCTTGAAAGCATCAAAATGTTGTTTTGGGGGTTTGGGGATGAGAGGAAAAGTAATTCAAGGTGTTTTTTAAAGCACTCTTAGTACTGGAGGTCCAGGATAACTGAGCTGGAAAACCAAGTTCCACGGTATTGCTATTGCTATCAAACAAATGAAACTGGGGAGGCTGTATCCACAGGGCTTTTCAATGTCAAAGGCCTTATAACCAGTGACTCTTGTGTTTAGTGATTCGATGTGAGGCCTCCTAGACCTAAGATTAGGAGTTCAATCCCCACCCCATCTGATGTGCAGACTATCAAACAAAGAATAAAAAAATGATGATCACTGCACTTCTTTGCTTGAAAGTCTTGACTTGCATGAAATTTGAATGCAACATCATAATACCTGCTATCATTCTTTGTGATGCAATGTTTATCCAGCTGATGGAAGTAAGATTGCTCCTGCTGCTTCTGGAGAAGTTACTTCTGCAAGTGCAAACTCTGGAAAGGCTTCTAAGGCTCCTATTCAAAGGAAAGACAGCTCTCCAGTTCCAACTTCTGAAAAAAGAGGTAGTGATCGTCCAGCTGATAAAGATAGGAAAAAAGACGTGCCTCATCCACGCATGCAGTTTGATGACAAGAGCCGCGTGGAAAAGGCAAAGAAGCGTTCAGTAGTAACACAAACTGAAGCAAGGAATAGGGTTGAACTATTTAGACACCTGCCTCAATATGAACATGGAACACGGCTTCCTGAGCTTGAGTCAAAGTTCTTCCAACTTGATCCAGTTCATCCTGCTGTATTTAAGGTACTTCCTGAGGTGCACTGTTAACCAAAATGACCCATGGCTCTTTAAAGTTAAATGCAAAAATTATGTTGTCAATGTTTTCCATTCCTACCCTACTATCTACCTTTTATATATTTCTTCATTTATATTTTTTGCTTGATATGATGAGAAATATGATGCAATTACGATGAATAACTCAACTAATGAATGCTCAAGATTTAAAATCTCCAAAGTACCAATGACAATTTAACAATAACCAATTCAAATACCCCTAAATGAATGGGGACTAAATTCCATCTATATAAGGAGGGACTAATTTGTTAATTTTTGATCAAGCAATCTTGGCATACAATCAAAGATATACTCTGTGATAGAGCATTGAATACCCTAAAATATCATTAAGGGATGTAAATTTCAAGTCATATGTTGTACATACACAAGAGATGTGAGTATGAGTCTATCTCCAGCTTCTACTCACATTTCCATGCTCCATAATAGTTTCTTATGAAAACTTCCTTTTCAGGTTGGGCTAAGGTACTTGGCTGGAGATATATCTGGTGGTAATGCCCGCTGTATTGCTATGCTTCAAGCTTTCCAAGAATCAATCAAAGACTACTCGACCCCACCAGAAAAGGCTCTAATCAGGGACTTGACTACAAAAATTAATTGTTACGTGTCATTTCTAATTGGATGCAGGCCACTCTCAATCACTATGGGAAATGCAATTAGGTTTCTTAAAACTAAGATTGCCAAATTACCTTTGACTTTGTCAGAATCAGAAGCAAAAGTAACTCTTATAACAGATATTGACCATTTTATAAATGAGAAGATAATAATTGCAGATAAGGTAATAGTCAAACATGCAGTAACCAAGATCAGAGATGGTGATGTTCTTCTCACATATGGATCATCTTCTGCTGTTGAAATGATATTTTCACATGCTCATGAGCTTGGTAGGGACTTCCGTGTTATAGTAGTGGATTCACGTCCAAAACTTGAAGGGAGATTACTGCTTCGTAGGTTGGTTGCAAAGGGTATTAACTGTACATATACTCATATAAATGCGGTTTCCTACATTATGCATGAAGCTACTCGAGTATTTCTGGGTGCCGCATCAATTTTGTCCAATGGAACTGTTTACTCAAGGGTTGGCACTGCATGTGTTGCTATGGTTGCTCATCAATTCCGTGTTCCTGTCCTGATATGTTGTGAAGCATATAAATTTCATGAAAGGGTTCAACTTGACTCAATTTGTTCTAATGAACTTGGTATGTGTTTTTTTCTTCTTGTTCATCCTCTAGTTCTAGCAATTTATATCCTTCTCTATTTAAAGAATGCTTTGTATCTACCACTTTAGCTATTATTCTTGCAATAACATAGGTGATCCAGAAGCAATTGCAAATGTTCCTGGTGGTAAGGCAGTCAAACATTTGGATAATTGGTCTAGTAGTGAAAATCTACAACTTCTGAATCTGATGTAAGTATCTTTTCCTTATTGGCATGTGATATTTTCCTTGTATTCACCAAAGCTTACCCTTATTTACATTGGGACAGTTATGATGCAACACCAGCGGATTATGTGTCAATGATAATCACAGATTATGGAATGGTAAGCAGTCTGGAGCTTATATTTCTATTCTATCAGAAATTAAGCCATACCCCAATTCAGAAAGCGCAAAGATTGGCTTTTCTGCTTGTTTATATATATATTCTTTTACCCACATTGCCTCCATGCTTTTTTACAGATTCCTCCAACAAGTGTTCCTGTCATTGTTCGAGAATACCGCAGAGAACACTTGTGGACTTAGAGGGCACCAGGAAATGTCAGAGCTTCAAGGGTTAATACAGGAGCGATTTTGATCTCAGCCCGGTGTCAATTGCTGTTGGAGTCCCCTATCTTGCTGAGGAAGCAATTTGAGGCATCTGCTGTGAACACTAAAATTTCTTTTGCATCCGTAGTTTAATTCTTGGTTCTCGTGGAATAATAATTTGTCTTGTGATGTACTCGAGATTTTGGATTTCCCATTTTTACATGACCCCGTGAAGAGAGCGATTGGTCCGCCTCTCAGGGTAGAGTTTTTGAAACACTTCAATTTTCTTAAGAGGCTGTTATTGGAAAACATCAATTTTGTTCTCATTCTTTTCTCCCTTGCTACTGTTTGCAAAGTTGAGAAGTAAAAGCTTTTACAAGTTTTGCTTTCTTCTATTAATTAAGAATCATGTCCAGGTGGTTTCCTGCTTTTGTTTCTTTGCATCAAGTAGTAACAAGCACAGTTCAAGTCATTTAAGAGTTTTGTTGCTGCAATCAGAGCTGTCTTTTGAGTCATTTATATGTCATGGTTTGGAATGTTGAAATTTTGAATCAGGGGTTGGTAAGCCAGCACCAATCCTACTTGTGAAGTATAATAGCTTTTTTGACTCTTGGGAATCCCATTTGATCCTCTATTAGATGTCCCATAGTTTTAGTTTTGTTTTGGTGTTAGTTCCTTTTCCCTTGTGTGAAAAGTATCTGTTTTGGTAGGACACACTCCCATTGCACTGAACAACTTCAATAAATGTATGAAAAAAATTTTATTGCATGCCACAAATGTATGCTACATCTATATCTTTTGATTTACGGGAAAGCCATTTCATCTATATACTTTTTCAATGCACGTCTTGCATAAGTAAAACGCAAACACCAACACCAACTTGCACCTAGTCTCTCACAATGTCACCTTTTCCACTTACGGGAGAGACAACAGCAAGAATGACCAAACCGCACAAGACAACAATCAACACACCCATAGAATTCACCAACAACCCCTCGGTGGAATAGCGCGATATAACATGGTTGGTTTGAAGAAATGTCAACTTCTCTAATATCCCCGTTGTGCAAGTAGCAACTGCTAGGGCATAGATATAAACCCCGAAAAAGACATGCCATGGTAGGAGACTAGCTCTGCTGTTCCTTGAACCGCCTGGATACCAGAAGGTTGAAAAACCTGCAGCCCACTGTGGGGAGGGAATTGTTGAAGACAGATTAACATAAGCTACCAGAATTGGTATAGAAACAAGAATGGTGCAAGGTGACAGAATATGACAACGTAAAAGAGGATGCATTAAATATTAAGAAGGGCACCTGAATGCCAAACAACAAGAGACAAGCTAGACCCAACCACGAGTGGAGGCTGTAAAAGTTGTCAATGCCCTTGTCGTTGTGAAACTTCAAAGCAGCCCATACACCGATCAGACCCAAAAAGAAAGCCAGGAATTGCAGAGCGAGATGGACTAATTTTTTGTAGTTCTTTGTTCCCGAGACTGTCTTGTAAGCCAGCATTGCTGTAACAATCCATAACAGTTACTGGGATTAGGGCACTGAACACCTAAATGAGCTACATACACTAGTTCGTGTTAGCTGAGGAAATCCTACAAGAAGGGTAGAAATTGCAAAATCCTATTGGAATGCATGAAATGGCAATGCAAATAGGGGATGGAATGACTTTAAGCATTTCAGACATGACAGTTCTTACTAAAATTTTGAGTTTATCGGTGCAATTATGTAACACTTTGAAGAGTTCTGTGAAAGTCAAGGAAGCAAAACCACAAGGTGAAGCATATTATAGGATTGTGTTCCAGATAGGTAAAGCCAGTTTCAACCAATAAACTCACAGAATAAGCATGACCCCATTAAGGAAATCCTGTTCAGCTTGAGTCAAGATAGTTAACTGAACTACCAAAATAGCATAACCAAGGATACACTAATATTCATCTCATGACACAATGACCTTGGCTTAAGGCCTCCTGCACCTAAGATCAAGGTGTTCAAGTTCCCTGATCCCTAAGGTACAAAAAGGAAAACGAGAGTCCCTCATGGAGTAAAACTCTACCCACACAATTCTTAAAAAGTGAGAGTATATGTAGTATTACTCGAACAAAAACATCCTCTCATGAGATTGAGACTTAGCTACCACAAACAAACAAAACAATTGGCATACTTCCAAAATTCTCTCATTCAAACATGTTCCTCCTTGTATAACAGTAGTAGTAAAGAGAGATGATTCTAGAATGGTTGGAATTACCTTCACCATTTAGAAGTACAAAGCTAATCACCATTAAAACAGGATGCACCTGCAGATGAAACATACAAGCACACATAAGAATCAAACCAATCAGCCTCTTGTTCTGATTATAAATGCTTATACTTGTGTTTCAATGGTCCATGAAGAATCGCAGACAAAAGTATTGGCTATACTTTCTAAGACACATTATCAAACACGTAATCTCCATTAATGTAGAAGAAGCTAATTAAAACGGAAGCATGATTCAAGGGGCGAGAGAGACATTACATTAAAGATGAGATCTTTGTTGTCGGAGATGAGAGCCAAGCCTCCTCTGTAGTGCACGGTCCACGCCAGGACCAGCGCCATTACCGCGAAGCCGATGATCCTGACGAACAAGAAGATCGGGAACCTCACTACCGGCACTGCCATGGGAACAGCTGCCTCCTCTTCCTCTTCCTCCTCCTCCTCTTCAGTGATCTTCCCTTGCTCTTCCAGGATTGATATTGAGAATTGGGATTTTATTATTTTAAAATCGAAGTCAGCAATAACAGATCTGGTGAAGGGATGGAATCTATCTGAAACTTGAGTTGAGAGAGTACTTCCTTTTCTCTCTCTGATTTGTTTATATTTTTTGAGTTTTGACTTCCCAGTTGGCCAGTTGGGTAATGCTGTTTGGATTTTATTTTTTGAACAAGGATGGTACCATGTTCCCAACTAACTCATCTCGGTTCAACATGTGGTAATTAAAATTAAAATGATATTTGATATTGTTATAATGAAATTAGTATGTGGGGAAAATGAAATTGAAAAATAGAGCAATATTGTTAAATAAAACTGGAGTGTAATTAAAATGATACTTACTTCCTGGACCATACTACTACATGCACCATGGTCTACAATAAAATTTGCCGGTAATGTGTACATTGTCATATAGTGATAAGGTTACGAATTTTTTAGAATGACGAGAGAGATCATCAACAACCTTTATCTTAAGGTGTTACGTTGTATTGAATAAACCTCGTTTTCGTGTAATAGCTCACAAGTCATACCACGTGAGAGGTAAACAACACTATGAAAATTCTCCGTGACTCGATCAAGAAAGTGTTGACAATAATCAAACTCATGAAAGTATGAGAGTGATATACGAATTTTGACTACACACGTCCTAGCCAGAGGACTACACTATATACGAATTTAACTATTTTTTTTTTAAAAAGAAATATGAATTTAACTATATATGTCCTCACCAGGACTATGTGGTCCAATGGTATCCGGGTTGGACTTCCATTTGGAAGGTTGTGAGTTCAAGCTTCTTTATATTCTACTAATAGAGCTAGTAGCATTCAAAAAAAAAAACTATATATGTCCTCACCTAGAGGCATGCACTATCAGAACTTGAACTCAAGACTTTTAGTTAACTATAAGAAATTATCACTATTTTATATACTCCGTACTTAAAATATATATATATATATATATATATATATATATATATATATATATATGAGTCAAGAGTTATACTGTAATATATAGTGTTGAGTTTAGATGATTATTACACAAAGGAAAATGACAAATTTTCACAATGAAGTCTAAATCCTAAATTATAGATGTAGTTTATTTTTCTTCTTAATTATAGAAACATCAATATTTGTTCCATCAATTATTTTCAAAGTAATTTTGTCGTGTGACGATAGAAATCTGTCTGTCACTATTTGATGGTATGCATTAGGTAAACCCAACTCTTATGTATAATTCACAAACCGCACTAGAAAATTCTCGTACAACAAACTCGACTAAAAATATGTTGTTAAAATCAAACTCATAAATTTTAGAGTTAATGTCATTTTTGGTCCTAGAATTATTGGGGCATTGACACTTTTCATCCTCCATAATAAAAATTGTCAATTTGTAGTCACGCTTATTGGTCGTTGGACACTTTTAGTCTTCCGTCAATGAATTCGTTTGTTGACCGCGAATTAGAAGGGTTTTTCTGTCTTTTATGTCTTATTCTTCTAATCCTTTTTAGATCAGCGCTACGGTGAGTCGAGATGGCGAGACTTGGCGACGAAGCAGTAACCATCGGCCATGGCAGTGAGCAGCAGCGAAGTTCTTCTTCGGCGAGCTATGGCTACGACAGCGAGCAGACGAGGCAGTAACTCCATCCGGCGACGGACCAGTATGGCAGATCTGGCGGTGCAGCAACAGATCCGATGAGGTTGGGGCCTTCACCAGTGGTTTTTGGTTCCGGCGAAGCAGAGAGGGCAGCAAGTCGGTGAACCCTCCTTCGGTAAATAGCAGTTATAGATGTAGATGGCGTGATGTAGAATTTACACTTGTAATTCCTCCCTTCCAGATTGACCGCAAATATCCTTCCCATCTCTCTCTCTCTCACTCTGACTACAACTACTTGGTGCACAACCTCAAAAACCCTACTCAAGTTAAACAGAGTAAAATTGAATTGAATAAAAGCCTTGAGGAGCAGCGACCAATGCCTGGAGTGCTCACAACACCGAACGAGCTCTTTGCCATGTAACTGCGTTTGCCGTTTCTAGACCGGAGAGAATTTTCTCGATGATTTTCACAACACCGAACGAGCTCTTTCTTCATCGGCATGGAGGTAGAAATGGCTATCAGACTTGAAACTCCGGCCTCGATTGCAAATCGATCGGTTTCTTCATTGATTAAATGGCAAAGCTCATAGAATAAGCCTTGCTTTTCTGCGATCTTAAGTTGTGAGTCGTCGTTCAACGTGATAGACTCTACAACTCTGGCGAATTGAATCTTCGAGCTCAAGCTCCCTTTCTAAAGAAGCGGAACGAATCGCGATAGATAATCAGTATCACTCTTCAAAATCAACCTATTCAAGTGCTCTTTAACACAATTCTCCGATAAAATCAGGTCCAAAATTGCAATAATCGATTCACAAAATTCGATTTCGTCGAAATTCTTTAGAGCTGCGACAATACCGAAAACTGCCTAATTGGAATTAGCAAAAAATCTCCGATTCTTCGCCTCTCTGGTCTAAAATGGATTAAAAGAATAAGACATAAAAAGACAAAAAAAGTCCTTCTAATAGAGAAATATAAGGATTAGAAGAATATGACATAAAAAGACAGAAAAACCATTCTAATTCACGGTCAACAAAGGGCTTCATTGATGGAGGATTAAAAGTGTCCAACAACCAATAAACATGACTACAAATAGGCAATTTTTATTATGAATGATGAAAAATGTCAATGCCTCAATAAATATAGGATAAAAAATAACATTAACTCTAAATTTTAGGTATAAATGTACAATAATCATGATATACCTACTTAATCAAACTTTTAGCGCGCAACGTGATTAATTGTATGCTTTATGTACACGACGACAACATATTAATTGTCATAAGTTTAGTTATTGTGAAACTAATATTAAAATTCAACTTAGTAGTGCGCGTTAATTTCGGTACAATATGGTTTGCGTTTTACATACGGACAACATGGTCTACGATCTACTTCTCTCGGTAAATGTATCGCCTCGTTACCATAAGGTTAATCAATACTTTGATTAATTGCATTTCTGTTACTAAAACAGATAAAAATGATTAAACTAATTAATTCTTTAATTATAACTTATAAGAGTGAGTTAATGTTATTTTTTTTTTATAGAAAAACACACCGTTGCTATTCAAAAATATGCATCTTAATGTTCTCTACCAAAAAAAAAAACAAATTATTAGTTAATACAGACAAGTTCAATTTTTATTAACATTTTATTGATTTATACGGACTTGAGAATACAATTTTACACTTTCGAGTTAAGACTGCTTCTCGACTACTAAATATTTCATCAACTATATTCGTGTAAAATAATAAAATAATAATAATGACATCTTAATATAATAAAGAAAACAATTTCATTATAATATATAAACTATATTAATTTGAAATAATTATAATTGAGTTACTCTATAAATCAACTTAAAGAAAAAAACAATTAACTTTTTTTTAAACCAACAAAAAATAATAATTAACTTAGTAACTACGGAGTATAAATTTAAATTTAGTTAGGAGTGCATGGGACTTTACTGCTACTCGCTTCATTTGCAAGACACTCCCGTACACAAAAATAGAATATTAGGAACCACTATGACAAGTTACCTTATCTTATATTCTTATTGAATAATTTTTATAATACTATGCTGCTTATGCAGTACATTCTTATCTTTGACTACAATTTTATTTATTTATTTATTTATTTTTATTAGACTACTAGTTTAATGTCAGCATGGGCCACTTGTTCGAAATACTAAAGGAGAGATCAGACATGCTATATTAAATATAAGTTGTTATACTATAGAAGGTGGACCATGGTCCTAAATGGTGTATTTTTAAGTATTGAAATTGTAAATATTTAAAATATAAATTGTATTTCTAAGTTTGGTAAATTTATAAATATAATACAGAGTCATCATAAATTGTGAATTTTTTAAATGTAAATTGTGAATATTTAGTATGTAAATTGTGTATTTTTAGACTCAGATCTACCTTGCAATGTGATCTCATGTATACAGAATAATTTGCCATTAAATGTTGGGAACAACGGTATTTTATCACTGAATTGTTTTAAGTTTGAAAGTTTGGTCTATATAAATTAATTTAAACAAATTTAACATCTTAATTATTTATAATGTTGCCCTTTTAGTCCATAGTATTATATAATTATCAAATTGCATTAATATGTGAGATTACTATTATTATTTAGAATTAACATTCACCGTTAAAAATAACATTCACACAGAGAAAGTGTTACTTTAGAATTTGATAATTATATAATACAAATAAATGAAAAATGCATCATAATAAACAATTAAGGAATTAAATCTGTTTAAATCAATTAACGTATATACCAAAATCTCAAAAGTGATACAATTCAGGAGGTATAAGTGTTATTTTCCTTTAAATATTTTTTAATCACATTTTCCTTTAAATATATTTACACAAAAATTAATATGTGTAGATTAGATGCTAATACAATATGACTACTTACATCCTGAACATCACGAAAATAATGAACAACGACAAAACAAGTAGACGCACGGAGTATATATGTGTGTGTTCAATACGATCTTTTATTTTCATTATTATATTTCAAAAGCTATTTATAGTTATATAAAGTATATAATAAAAAAAATCATTCACTATATGTATCGTTTGACAATTAACCCCAAACTTTACAAGTATAATAACATTTATAGACAAGTACGAGCTACGCGATAGACCATATATTTTAAAAGGAGACGATGTGTTATGTGTATGAATCTCTCAATATGAACTTGGGTTGACCTCATCTAGTGAACTTGACCTCACTTGAGTGGAGCCTTAATCATTTCGAGTTGTCTACTGTTACTTGTCACTTGTTATGATCGGTGTTGGTTTTAAGATTATCGGAGATGTCAGTCGGCGGGCCAACATGACTGACTAGATGAGAAGTGAAATATGAAAGAGTAGAAAAATAAATAATTGAAAGGAAAAATAGAGAAGACACAATATTTTTAACGTAGAAAACGAATGGTAAAAATCAAAAACATTTTTGGACGGTGCCAAGCCAATTCACTATATTTTGTAAGTAGTTAGTACATGTACAATTTGTGTTCTCTAGGGAGGTGTAGTCGTGTAGATGTACAGGGATGAAGTCGATTGATTGATTGAGCTCTCCCTTTCTTGTATCCGACTAGAGCCTTTTTTAGTATATATAAGAAATACAAGACATATGGTAATATGGTATGTTTATGGTAATCCGGTATTTATGGTAGAGTTATTATTTTATAGGATGTAGATGAATTTAGAAAATATAAAGGGGTTTAGGCAATATAAAGATATTTATGTAGTGGAGGTGATTTGGGAAATAAAATAATATTTAGGAAAGTAGTTTGTGTAAATTTGACTTGTCATATTCTTGCAATTGTCATATAATTCATTTTTCCACCGCTACAACTGATTGGTCACATCTCGAGTCCGAGCACCAATCTGATTACTGTGCTCGACTGCCTTCCAGTGGTGCTGACTGAGTACCCATGCTGAATATCCTTAATTGGCATTTCTTAAGAAGTGTAATAATGCGTATAATACATCATGTAAGATGAAATTGGTCACATTAAATATATAATGTTTTAAACGTTAATTTTGTTTTTATTGAATCTTAATTTTAAAACTGCGATGACATTTTTTGTTTTGAATAATGAAAAAATTCATTATTATTACTTGTGACAAAAAAGATGGAATCGGGCATTCCTAGTTTGTGAATGGATAAATCATAGTGAATCAATTGATCAACAAATATTGTGCAAAAGTAATTCTCTATTTTGAGAGGCTGCTTCTACACTACTACTAGTGAGACTTGATTCTTAATTTCTTATGATAAATTTTGACCTTGTGATCAGTTGAGCACTATTCGGATATAGTTATTACTAGCCGTATTGATTGAGGTCATGAGTGTAACTTACCTTAACGATGCAGTTGCGTCACTTGCCCGTGTCCCAAACAAGATCAAGTACAGCCTATCGACACCGTGTCATTTGGATGAAGCATATTCTCCACTATCCACTTCAATTACATAAAAGCCCCCAGATCCTTTCAAATTTACACCCGCCTCCTCAAACGGCATCAACTTCCCCAGGCTAACGACCATCCGGGGGCACTTTCGTCACTCCGCTAAAGGCTAAAGCACATTTCTAAACCGCTCACGTTTTGCCGAAAGGCGGCCAAACCGAATCCCCAAACTGCCCCGACCCAACGGACAAAATCTCGACGAAAGCAAGGGCATCGGAGTAACTTCAGGAAAACCGAATTCTTGTCCGACTGTTGAAGTTAGAAAAAAACAATATTTAATTAATGTAAAAATGAGAAGAAAGGAAAAGCAGAGTGAGAAATCCGCGCACACCAAAGGTTGCTACTGAAAAAAGCGAGGAGAGAGAAAGGGGTAGAGAGAGAAAGTTATCGGATTTCAGAGCTCTATTCGCCGGAATTTGGGAACTCTGTTCACGTCCGGTGAAGATTTCCCAAATTCCTAGCCCATAGAATTAGGGTTTGGGGGATGAAGTCACGAGTGCTTGCAGTTGAAGCTAGTGGTTTGCGAAGTTGAGGCTGCGATCTGTGGTTTTCGAATTCTTACGCGGTCAATTTGCGGGGAATTGGTCTGATGTCTACGCCCACGAGGAAGTTGTGGTCGGGGTGGTCGCTCACCCCGAGGAAGAGCGAGGAGAAGGGGAAAGGCCTGGACTTCGTGGAAAATTCCAGGAAATGTTTGGATGGTGAAGAAAGTGGATCTGTTAACTTACAGGAGAAGGTGGCGAAGCTCGAAACGGAGGTTAGTGTACTGCTTCACCGGCGTGTTTAGTAGCTTTATGCAGACTGAATTACAAGTTTTATTGTCCTTTGCTGGTTTTTTTATTATTTTATATTTATTTGTCTTCATTTTACTTTTTAGTAGTTTTATGCAGACTGAATTACAAGTTCGTTTGTCTTTTGGTTGTTTTATATATATTTATATTTGCCTTCATTTTACTTTTTTTTTTTTTTTTTTTTTTTTTTTTTTTTTGGCGTTACTGCGTTATGCAGTTGTTCTTAAGAAAGTGAAGTGTTAACTGCTGATAAAATTTTCTAGGAATTAAGTTCGTTTACTAGAGCGTCCATCTTTCAGAAATTTAACCGAGTGGCATAGTGCAGTAAGTTTTTTGGAGGAGTGAAGTGGCAGGAGTTTGTATGATTAATAATTTCAACTAATTATTTCAAGTTTTCAACAATGGAAAAAGTAGATGGAACTTGGGGAACCCTTGTTACTGGTGTTGGTTTCCATTGTCAATGTAAGCATTGTAATTTTTATTTGGATGAAGTACCTCACCATACCATCTTTACTACTGGAAAGGCTTTTTTATGACTAATAAAAGTGAGTTTGAAAAGTTATTCTGATAACAATCTACTCTGGGAGTTATATGTGTTTTTTTTTTTTTTTTTTTTTCATCTGCTCTTTGCATGGAAAAGCTGATATATTATATAGAATGGTTAAAAAGCAGTGCCTATTTTGTTAGTACTGAAAGCATAGTTACTGCTAGTGAGGGTACATTTCACATGAATGCCAATTTCTTGCATACTGTTAGAGACACTCTTTGTTCCCTCCTGCTTTGCCACAATATATTGATATAGTGGTTTTATAACTTTTTCTGACTGCCGTTTAAATTTTGTAGCTCTTTGAGTACCAATATAATATGGGTCTGCTATTAATCGAGAAGAAGGAATGGACTACCAAGCACGAAGAAGTCAAGCATGCTTTAGAAGAAGCAAATGATCTCTACAAAAGAGAACGAGAAGCCAATTCTATTGCAATATCTGAAGCTGAGAAGCGAGAAGACAGTTTAAGGAAGGCGTTGGGTGTTGAGAAACAATGTGTGCTTGACGTATGGCTTCTATTTATTGGATTCATATCATTATTTTATTTGTTATTTCTTTTGGAGGAATTTTTAAGATTGTTTCTTTCTGCAGCTAGAGAAGGCTTTGCGTGAGATGCGCTCAGAATATGCAGAAATTAAGTTCACAGCTGATTCGAAATTGGCTGAGGCAAATGCTCTAGTGACGAGTGTTGAAGAGAAATCTTTAGAGGTAGAAGCCAAACTGCATGCAGCTGATGCCAAGCTTGCTGAAGCTAGTAGAAAGAGTTCAGAAGTTGAGAGGAAACTACACGAGCTAAAGACTCAAGAAAATGCACTTCGAAGAGAAAGATCCTCTTTCAACGTCGAGTAAGCTTTAGACTATAAACCTTCTACCGAATAGTGTGCATGCAATATGTGTGTGTTTACCATCTTGAAAAGCAGGCTTAAGAGGTTGCTCATTTCAATATCTTCGTAATGTGTCAGGCGTGAATCCCATGAGAGCACTTTGTCTAAGCAACGGGAAGACTTGCGAGAATGGGAAAGAAAACTACAAGAGGGTGAAGAGAGGCTTGCTGATGGCAGGAGGTTGCTTAACCAAAGAGAGCAGAGAGCAAATGAGGCGGATAAGATTATGACACAGAAGCAGACTGAACTTGAAGCTTCTCAAAGGAAAATTGACACAGCTAACTCAGTTTTGAATGAGAAAGAAGAGGACATTAGCCGCCGGCTGGCAGGCCTTAGTCTCAAGGAGAAGGTAAGCTGTATTTTCATTGATATCTAATCGAAAATGCTCTAATTTCTGCTTAAGTGATTTTTTTCCTTGTCTTCATGCAGGAAATTGATGAAATGAGAAAGAGCTTAGATCTAAAAGAGAAAAAGTTACATGAACTAGAGGAAAAACTTAATGCTAGAGAAAGAGTGAGTACCTTCCCTTCATCATTCATGTATTAGTAAATAGAACTTACCAAGGTGAACAAGCATGCTGATCGATAGTAATTCATATTATTCTTCCACAATAATTATTGTATAGGTGTATTCATTTAAATATTAAATCTTGTCAATTAGTTACAAGTTCTTATTGCTTATATATTTTGACTTCCTATGGGGTGGACCAGTCTCATTTTATAAGTAGCAGTGTTATTAACAAAACATCCAATTATATTCAATTAGATGTCTTGCTTTACAAATTGGTCATCATTCTTCACCCTCACACTCCTCTCGTTCTCCTCTTTTTGTGTGTGTACGAGGAAAAAGAAAATTGAAAGATGAAAAATGTGTCAAAATGCGACAGAGAAGTTCAATCCATGAATTGATAATAATGTACTACTTTTTAAAATTTGACACTTCTCTACACAGGAGGAGATTCAGAAGCTTGTAGATGAACACAGGGCGACCCTTGATGCCAAAGAAGAAGAATTCAAACTGGAAATGAAGCAGAGGAGGGAATCCCAGGATGAAGAATTGAAAAGCAAGGTGATTGAACTTGAAAAGAAGGAAGCTGAAATTTATCACATGGAGGAAAAAGTCAAGAAACGGGAACAGGCACTTGAAAAGAAATCAGAGAAAGTAAAAGAGAAAGAAAAGGATCTTGAATCAAAATTAAAAGCTATGAAGGAAAGGGAAAAGTCTGTAAAACTTGAGGAGAAAAACTTGGCGAACGAGAGGAAGCAAATCCTTTCTGACAAGGATGAATTAATTGCCCTTCAGGCTGAACTTGAGAATGTAAGGGCCGACATTGAAAAAAGCCAATTAAAGCTAAATGAAGATCGAGAACAGCTTAAAGTAACAGAAGCTGAGAGATTGGAACTCACTCGCCTGCAATCAGAGTTGAAGCAGGAAACAGACAAGTGCAGACTCCAGCAAGACTTGCTTTTGAAGGAAACTGAGGATTTGAAAAAGGAAAGAGAGAAATTTGAGAAAGAATGGGATGGGTTAGATGAGAAAAGAGCTGAGATTAAGAAAGAATTAGAGGAACTTAATGAACAAAGAAGGAGCTTTGAAAAGCTAAAGCGCTCTGAAGAGGAAAGGATGAACAAGGAGAAAATTGAAACAGAATATTATGTTAACAGGGAGTTGGAAGCACTTAAAGTGGCAAGAGAATCATTCTCGGCTAGTATGGATCATGAGAAATCAGTTTTAGATGAAAAACTTCAAAATGAGAGAAGCCAATTGCTTCATGATTTTGAGCTACGTAAAAGCAAACTTGAGGTTGATATGCAGAAGAAGCAGGAAGAGATGGAGTCTGGGTTGCTTGAGAGAGAGAAACTATTTGAGGACCATAGGGAGAGAGAACTAAATAATATTAACTACTTGAGGGAAGTGGCCCGAAGAGATATGGAAGAGCTGAAAGTGGAAAGATCTCGACTTCAGAAAGAGAAACAGGAAATCTCCGCAAATAAGGAACATCTTGAAGAACAGCAGCTAGAGATGCGAAGAGACATCGATGCACTAGTTGCCTTGAGTAGTAAATTAAAGGCTCAGAGGGTAACATTTCTCAAGGAAAGGGAACAGTTCGTGGAATTTATCAAAAAGCAAGAAAATTGCACCTCCTGTGGAAAGAGTATTGGTGAATTTGAGCTTTCTGGTCTTCAGTCTTTGACTGAGGTGGATAATTTTGAGGCCCCTCCGCTGCCTACTGTTGCCCAAGATTTTTTGAGAGAGAATATCCAAGGGACTTCTGAAAGGCCTGGCAACGAGTTGTCCCCTGGCATTGTCAATTCTGGAGTTTCAGTCTCTGGTGGTGGGACCATGTCATGGCTTCGGAAATGTACATCAAAGATTCTCAAGTTTTCACCAGGCAAGAAAATCGAACCTACCGATCTTCAAGATATGATAGATGGATCAGCCCTGCCAGAGAATTCTGTTAAGGAAACACCAAATGCATCATTACTGCACAGAGAAATACAACAAGATATGTCTCTGTTCAAGGGTGATGCTTCTGAAGATCCGATACTTGAACTTGACAACAGCACAAGAGAGGTGGAAACTGGCAAAGATATTGTGGAAGACTCTGAGAATTCTAATGTGAAAATTGGCCAGCGTAGACCTGTGAAAAGAGGGGGTGTCCCTAGAGGTAGGAAAACCAGTTCTGGTAAGGCCAATGGGAGTGTTGAGATCTCCATTAATACCAACGAGGAAAGTGAGAAGGAATCTGGTCTTCTAGGTACAGGGATTAATAGAAACTCCAGAAAACGAAGTCGTGCGCACACATCACAAGGAACAGCAAGTGAGCAAGGAGATGATTATAGTGAAGGAAATTCAGACAGTGTGACGGGTGGTAGTCGTAGGAAGAGAAGACAAAAGGCTGCCCCGCTTATTCAGAATCCTGGTCAAAGTAGATACAATCTTCGTCGACCAAAAAGGTAAACTCTTTCTATCGCTTCCTGTAGGTTGTATTAAGTAGGCAAACTTAGTACTCCGTATCAATTAGAAGTGATGCAGCAGCCAGCCAGAAAGGACAGTAATATTGGGAGTAGAAGCAACATTAGGTTTGAGAAATCTCTGAACTCTACGAAATACTAGGACAAACATAATGTTCTTGTTCTGAATTAGACTTTTGGACTGTGGCTCTAAAACTCCACACCCCCTAAGAACCTAGCACCTGTATCTCTTAATAGACCCTAATAAAGAGAAAAGACACTAAGGGGCACCCAAATCAATTCGAAAATAATGATTATAAGAACAATTAAGTCCTAAGATAAGCTAATAAACTTATTAAGTAGGACCATTGCAAATATCACCCTTCCATGGGAAATTGAAGTGTTACAGTTTTGCGTATAGGCACAAGATTGTATGTCTGGATGACCAAAATTTATATTTGTTGAGGATAAAATATATAAAATAGTAAACATGTGGACAGTATCATCTAGAACTTTCTAATGAAAATAAAATGTTTAGGAACAAGTGTTAAATAGATCACTGAACTTATTGTTTTTGTGCAATTAGATCACTGAACTTGAAAAGTGTGCAATCAAACAAGCAAAATATGTGCAATTGGAACATTTTTATGATTTCCTTTAATGCGATTTAAGTTGAAAACATTTCAATCTTTCATTCTAACTAGTATGACAAAGGAAAGAGCAATTCTTAGTACATACCATGTAATTATGATAAGATTTTACCAAGAAAAATTGGAAAAATGTTACAATTGCACATATTTTACTTGTTTAATGGTTTAATTGCACACTTTTTTAAGTTCAGTGACCCAATTGTACAAAAGTCAGTTTTAGTGGCCTATTTGACACTTTTTCCAAATGTTCAATTTGACTAAAAATTGATGAAAAGACAAATCTAGTTTTTAGTACTTAATTAGTTAATTTAGTGAAAATTGTTATTGTTTTTAGATTGGTGGGTTCTTCCTTATTATTTTTTGTCTTCCCCTTCCCCCTCCCAACAACAAACAAAGCAATAAACAGTGTTTACAACTTTATTTTCAGTGCTGCTGTAGCCACAACCAATGGATCTTTATCTCATAATGCCTCAAGAATACAAGAAACACGGCATTCCAAGGTTGCACAGACAAGTCCTGTAGAGATTATTGATGGGGAGGTACAAAGTGTTGAGGTTGTTCATCAGACTGTAGTAGAGACACCGATTGAGGTACCCCAAACACCTCACCCGCCATTCTTACATTATTTTTTGTTTACATGTACAAAGTACATCCGCTCGCTGTCTTTCACATGGTGCTTTCTAATGCTCTACTTACATTTACTTCTTCTAGATCTTGTTATTAACATGATAAACATCATATTCTGACAGATCAAGGATGCAGCAGCAGATAAACAGGACAGCAATGCTGAGATGGCAAATAATTTGGTAGATACTGGTTTCAGTGAAGAGGTGAACGAAACACCTGAAGTTCCCAAGGAAGACTATGATGTTGATCAGGGGTACAGAACTGATGAAGACCATGGAATAGGCGACAACGACGAGGATGATGAAGATGAAGAGGCTGAGCATCCTGGTGAAGTCTCAATAGGGAAGAAGATCTGGACTTTTATCACCACATAAGAAATCTGAAATACGACACTCGGCTTTTACTACATCTAGATAATGTCAGATTTTTTTATGTGGAAGGAGAGCAGGAGTTGCTATTCCTTTTGCTGAGGATTTTAGAGTTATCTGTCTGGTGTGTGGTAGTGCTTGTATTTTGTTGTAGTTAATCAGAAGCTGATTAAGGTGGCTTAATGTAATTGTGTCTTTTAGTGTTTGTTTTGTTATTTATTAGGAGTTATTATTGTTAGGCTTTCTTCATATTGTTTCCACATTAGCATTGTTGATAATTCTCGACCAGTGCAGCATTGCCAAACTGGATCTTTGACTTTTCTATTACTTCAAATAGTTGTCACTCTTGAACTGTGTATGATAGCTAGTAGTTCTTGGTCCTCTTGGATGTGTACTGGGTAAATGTCTCCCAATTACTTTTGACATTTGTTTTTGTTTTTCACTAGTCTGCACTTATTATGTTACTGAAAATATAATATTTAGTAAAAAAATGGAAAGAAAGAAAAAGGAGAGTAAAAATCTGTCACACCATAAAAAGTTGCTACTGAAAAAAGGAGAGAGAAAAGGAGAATTACAAAAGCCAAGGAATGGAGAAAATTTCAGGGGTTAAATTTGGCTTCCCAAAGAAGAGCGAGGATTAATGAAGTGAAAAAGCTGTTCACACCACAAAAGGTGCTACTAAAAAAAGTGAGGCGACAAAGGACATGGGCGCTACACTTTTAAGTAAAAATATGGTATAGAGTAAGTATGAAAGCTACTATTTCATCAAGTTTATTGGCAAATATTTACTCAACATTATGTCGAGTGTTTTCTTGACAGCTAATATCACTTGTTCACAACAATCTACAAATAGCCATATTCTCTCCGACTAAATTATGTCAAAATTGGACCTCTAAAATTTCCTAGAACCCGATAGGCATAAAGATAAAGCGTTGCACTACCCAGAACTGTTGCTGAAACCTAACTCTTCTCCCTAAACTATCAGGCCAATGGTGTTTCTGTTATATACCAGCCTTTCTAGCAAACTTCAACAAAAACTTTTGCCAGTCAGCTCCAACACAACTACTACCTGCGGAGACTGAATTTCACTGTACTGTACATCGTTGATGATGCCCGACTATACACTTGGACGATCAACTATGAAGAACCTCGCTCTTCAACCGTTTGTCTTTGATGAACATTGGACTGCAATGCATTCTCTTCTGCGTGCCTCTTAAGATCCCTGCATCATAAAGGGGTCACACTTCAACTAGGAAGCTAGTAGAGTAGAGCATAATAAAGAGTGGGGAGGAACAAAACATACCTGCAGCGCGGCACTGAACAGCTTGAATCTTGACAATTCCTGTAGTGCATACGTAGGAGCAACCAAATTTTGTTACAAATATCACAACCGCCAGATACGCGAATGGTGCATCCATGTGCATGACGAAATAGCTGTCTGATTTTATGGCATTCAGGAAGTGGACAAGGGTTGCTCTTGCCAGCACGGCACCGAGATGCATGCACTAATAATTCCATTAACTTGACCTGCATCGCCAATTTTATTACATAAACAAGGTGAAATAATGTAATTGTTGCTCTTTTGGGGGATATCAAAAAGCTATGCCCTACAACTGTAATAAGAAACATGAATAGAAAATTGCATGCCCGGAATCATTAGGCTATGGACAAGCAATAAAAGGAATAACTGGGTACCAACAAGCAATCTTATTTTGGAATTGAATAGAATAAGGATATGGCATCCCCACCTGCAATCCTCTCTCAGCTTGTTGAAGTTGGGAATCACGACCACCTCCAGATAAGCAATGAATACTTTTGTAGAGATGGTACAGTATCATCATTGAGGAATGCTTAGCACGGCGTAGAGATTCAAACTGATAATGGTTTTCTTGACAGAAGCACAAGAAAGAATGTCTGTGCTCAAAGAAATCGTTATCTATAATGGCATCATTATCTTCAGTGTCGGCAGGAATGGGATCGGCAGAGGTCTTTGAAAAAAAAATATTAAAAAAAAAAGAATTAAAACTTGGTAATATAGTCAAAAAACACATGAGTAAGTCCTGTCTAGAGAAGAATAAAATATTTCTAGGGGATTCACCTGAGTAAGAAAATGTTTCTCCCCAGTAGAGGAAGTGTGTTCCTTCTGCTCATTGACACCTTGCTTCATATCAACACATCTAAAATATTAAAGACAAGTTAATAGTTAACAATATCTTCTATGGAAAAAAGAAGATAACTCATTGAAACCAATAAAAATTGCATTGAGAATTCTTTTATAAACAGGAGAGAGAGATCACCTTGCACATAGCTGAAAATTTTTGCATTCATTACAGCACCATCGAGTTCCTGATAATATTACTTCTTCGCACTTTGTACACTTGAATTGCAGGTTCACAATGATAAAGTCTTCCTTTACAGGAAGAATGGTTTGCCCCAGCTGTCACCAAAGAATGGGAAATCAGAAAATGATTCAACCTGGTTACTATATATACATATAAGACGTACATACAAACATACAGACATGAACTTTTTCCTTATTACATAGGTAAATAAAAGGAAACTTCAGGCATCCAGTCTTTCCCTTCCTACTATTATCTCAGCCATTTCATCAACTCTTTTAGCATATAATGCTGTATCTCTCAACTGATTCAAGTCTATTTATCATCATTGTTATGGTGCACACAGACACACACATACACGTGTCTGTATGCATACATCAACAAAAAGGTGAAATCCAAGTATAACGCCCAAACCCAACAACTGATGCCAAAAAAAGTACCTTTTGCATCACAATTACATCTTTAGCTGCTTCAGCAGAAAGGTCACTGTATCCCATTGCTTTGAGAGACCTCTTTGTCACTACTTTCTTAACTTTACCCGGAGATCCTCCTTTACCATCTTTATCCATGTTCCTCATCATATCCTCTGCAGCACCTGACCAATAGTCTCCATCAAAGTATGGTAAACGAGCTGCTGTTATCTTAGTGTTAGACTCCGCACTTGGAACAAAGAAGTGATCATAGAAATTAGTGAAACTGATCACAATATCTTCTTTTGATGCCTTCTTCAGCATTGACCTATACCTACAGAAGAAAATTTGAGTCAATTCATGGAACATTCCACATAGCTTGCAGAGAAAAAGTCTTCATTGTTTGTTCCCTAATAAGTTTGTTCTAGGAATTCAGGCTAACCTTAAAAAGAAAATAACCCAGAATACAGAGCATATTGATGGATGTTACAAGAAAAAGGATGATAGATGGAGAAACAAAGGAATAAACAAATACCATTGGCGAAGCTTGTCTGACTTCGGCGTTTTCTGAGATTCTGGGTGACAATACAATATGTAATCTTCACCTTTTACAGGTGGGCAAGCCCATATATAACAGGTAGAGAAACCCCGTTTCTTGCAGTATTCAAGGTACCCAATCTGATGACACAACAGGGACAAAGATATGTGTCAGTTTCTAAGTCTAACAAATTTCAACATATAATCCAAAACCTTCAGGTCAAGTTTATAGGCAGTAGCATGTAAGTGGAGGTTTAAAAAAGGACTTGCCAGTATTTCATGATATACAAAAGTGCGAAGAGCTTCCCCAGCTACAGTTCGTATGTCAGGTCTGAAGTACTTCACCGAGTCAAGATATGAAACATAGACACAGCGTTTGTTTGGCTCACCACATTCTGATCCAAACTCTTGGACATACATTCCAAAGAGGCATACATCTACTCCTTCAATGTTCTGAAACAATAGGATCACCTGTTTGGAGATGCTGTCAGATTTATTCCAAGGAAAAAGTTCAAACACCAAGATGAATAAAAACCAAACAGTTAAGTTTCTCACCTTTGATCTGTATTGGAACTCTACAGGGTAATCTTGACCATGGAAGATATCCAAAAATTGCTGCTTGACTCTCAGTTGCTTGTTGACAGACAATACTACCCTGACAACAAGACCTGTCGCTCCGGGTACCTGGTAGTAGGTGATATATCAATAGTAGAAATTAGGTGGAAGATTTAAGTAAACTGAGAAAATATACTTGGATGTGAATACTGTGCAACATCAGGAATGAGTTAAAACATTTTCTTTAGTAATTTTTTTAAAAAAAATAAGTACAGTATTCCACAATTTTTGTTTTCCTACTGCACTTTCTTAAAAGGCATCATAATCACTACTCCGAAGCTTACCTCATCCAGATTCTTTCCTAATAACTTCGCCCTCTGTTCTTTCTCTTGCTCAAGGAGTCTGAAGAGTCTGTCCTCAATATGATCACTCAAGTTGGTCCTTGGTAGATCTCTTGCACCAATAGCAGGGAAAGGCACATGCTCTCCATATTCTATCTCTTTTAAACGGCAGTACGGACATATATACTTTGCTTTCCCTTCCAAATCCTTTTTAGCATTGTAGAGAGCACATATCTGATGCTGCCAGCATTCACACTTGTCGCATTGCACCCACTGCCAATTTAATTACTGCTTGATAAATTGAATAAAAATATTTTTTAGGAAAAAAAGAAAATCACAAAGCTAAACAATACTGACCGATTCTTCATTTTCCTCATTGTTCTTTCCTTTCTGAAGCTTTGCTTTGGGAATAGATAGGCCCAGGAATGAGATGTTACCACCACGAGATGCCCTGAAGCATTGAGTACAAAAACAATATCGTCTGCTCGTTTCCTCCACTCCCCAATAATAAAATACCAAATTGCGCTTGATACGAACACCGCAAGATGAGCAATACATAGGCATTGGGATAAACACAAGCTTATCGGTGCCACATAACTGGCATGTATTCTCAATGCTAGAAGGAGTAATTGCATTCCCTATTAATCCCTAAATGGAAGGAAAAAAAAAAAAAGCTATGTTCATTAGATCCTTAGATCAAAGCAGTCATGTTGACTAAAAACAAATGAGCAAGTACATCACAAACATAGAGAACAATAAATTATATAAAATAATTATGCAAGTATTATCTCATTATCAAAAGAAAGCGGAAAGAACATCACCAACCAAATGACCAGTTCAATGGAATGAATTGACCTACGCTATTCACTAAAATTCTAAAAATTAGTAATCCTTCACTATTATGGCAGAAAGATATGATGTTATATTAAAAGGCTATATATCATACCTGTCCAAAATGAAGTCTGAGACTACAAATGTGTGTTTTAATCTGCTTGGCAGCGAAAAAGTCAACAAAAGACACTCCCAGCCTCTTTGAGTTGTTTGACTTTATTCTGAACAAATATCTAACTGCAGATTCAGCTAAATCACATTTGATTTCCGATCTGTTCCTTTTAGAATCCTCTTCTTGACCATTGGCAGATTCATTATGAAAAGGCTTCCTGTCTGAACTCACCCCTAGAGAATTTTCAGTATTGTC